AGAGGCCATGACAGAGTAAACCAAGAGCTCGGGAAGCAAGAGGAGGCGATGGCGAACTCACCCAAGTAGTTTTTGTGGTCGAAAACGGCTCGGAAAGCAGCGCTCGGTGATGGCAGCGGCGGTGATGGCAGCGGCGCTAGGGCTTGGCATGGCTCGGCGTCTCGGCGAAGCAGCTGCGGCTCCGAAGCTTGGGATGGGAGCGGCACGATGCGGGCACCCGGTATTTATGGCCAGGAGCAGCTTGGGGCGCAAGGCAAGGACAAGGCGTGGCGGCTGCGGACTTCCGGCGGCGGCGGAGTCCGGCGCGGAAACAAGCTAGAGGTGGGGGCCCGACTGATAGTGAGACACGGCGGAAGAGAGGAGGCACGGGCGACGCGGCTTGACTAGGCCGGCCTACTGGGCCGCTGCGGAGAGAAAGAGCAGGCCGCGCGGATGAAGAACTGGGCTGCGGAGCGTAGGAGTGGGAATGGGAGCTGGGCCTACGGGGAAACAGAGCCTACGGGCCAGAATTCCGAGAGAGGGAGAGAGGAAAAATTCTTTCTTTTTTTTCAATTTCATTTTCAAATCCAAATTCAAATTCTTTTGCAAATTTTGATCAAACCTAAGCATCACAAATAAAATATGTAGCAGCATGTATGCACATACATGTATGTAGACCTTATATTTGGTTTTAATTTTAACAAAGTTTTTATTTTTCTAAATTTAAATGCTCACAAAATGCATAAATAAATCATTTTCTCCTATTTTAAAATTATGCAAATTTTAGGGTGTTACAGAGCTCCTCATCCTTGTTTCAGCCACTACTTAGTGCACTACTTCTTAGCGTACAATAATACAAGTTTAGAGAGCCGAATGTATACTTTGAAAGTATGAGGACTGGGATGAGAACTTAGATAAGTTTAGGAAAATGAATATGCAATTTCAATGCATCGGGGCCTAGATAAGTATTCAGGACAAGTTTAGAGAGTTGAACGTAGAATTTGAGAGTACCTGGATCTAAACAAGAACATGCCAGAAGTTCGAGGACCGCTACTATTTGAATTTCTCTAGCCGACATGGTAGAGGGTGCTCTGCTATAGCTTCCTGCAACCAGTCCACGCCATCCATCCTCATTCTTCTGCTCTCCCTTTTGTTACTAACCTTTGGAATTTGAAAAAATAATCACTCCATTAGTGGAGATAGCTATATATAGAGAGCCACATGGGCCATATGGGCCTATATTAGATGATTAGATGGGCCTTCATACACTTAACACCCCCCTTCAAACTCAAGGTGGAAGTGGAGGATCTGAAGCATTGAGTTTGATCAAGTGAAGCCGATGCTGCTCTCGAGTTTGTGCTTTAGTGAAGAAATCAGCTAACTGTAGCTCAGAAGGCACATATCGAAGAGCAATGGTTTGTTGATGACAATGAGACCAAGTAAAGAAGGCATCAACACCAATATGTTTAGTAAGTTCATGCTTCATAGGATCATTGGCAATTTGTATAGCTCCTACATTGTCACAAAGAAGAGGTGTGGCGACATCACAAAAAATCCCAAAAACAGCCAACAACCATCGAAGCCATACAATCTCTAAAGTAGTAGTGGCAAGTGCTCGAAGTTCTGCCTCTGTACTAGAGCGAGATACAGCTACCTGCTTCTTAGACTTCCATGCAATAGGAGATGAGCCAAGAAGAATACAATATCCGGTGATGGAACGACGATCCGTTGGGTCACTCGCCCAAGTGAAGTTCGAGTAAGCATAGAGCTGAAGCGGACTATTATAGGCATAGAATAAAACATTGAGATGTTGTCCCCCTTAAGTACCATAGCACACGAAGTAAATGTCCAAAATGAACAGAAGTAGGAGCACTCACAAACTAGCTCAAAATATGGATTGCATGAGCGATATCTAGTCTGGTAACGGTGAGATAAACAAGACTACCCACAAGGTGTCTATATCTAGAGGGATTCAGAAGAGGTGTACCATCAGTGGGATGAAGATGCAAGTGAAGATCCATGGGTGTGGCAGTCGTTCGATTGTCAGTGATACTAGAATGAGCAATAAGATCTTGTATGTACTTGAGCAATAAGATGCAAGTGAAGCTGCTGTTTCACAAGAGAAATATGCTCCACATCATCACCCGTAATCAATATATCATCAACATATAAAAGAAGCAAAGTACGACTATGTGATGAGAGATGAATAAATAGAGCAGGGTCATGATCACTAGGTTTGAAACCAGCAGCCTTTATCACAGATACAAAACATTCAAACCAAGCACAAGGGGCCTGTTTAAGACCATATAAAGCACGGCAAAGCCGACAAACATAACCTGAAGGAGCATCAACACCTAGAGGTGCGTCCATATAGACTTCTTCATTCAAATCACCATGAAGGAAAGCATTCTTAACATCCATCTGAGATATGGCCCAAGAAGATGAAGCAGCCACTACAAGTAAAGTACGAATTATGGTCATGTGAGCAATAGGGGCAAATGTCTCTTCATAATCTAGTCCCAAAGTCTACTGAAACCCCCATGCAACAAGATGGGCTTTATATCTCTCAATAGAACCATCTGACTTGGTTTTAATCTTGAAAACCCACTTACTGGTGATCGGTACAGTATGTGAAGGTAATGGGACAAGCTCCCAAGTGCCTTGAAGATCAAGAGCAGCAAGCTCCTCAGACATAGCAAGCTGCCACTCTGGAATACTAGAAGCTTCCTGATAAGTGGATGGCTCATGAACAACAGCACTCACACATGGAAATCCCAACTTGTCAGGAGGCTGAATAATAGCATGATTCCGTAGATTATATGGTGGATCAACCTATGTCTCATCAGAAATAGCACACGACTCATCATTATTAGTAAAATCAGCATGACTGGGAGCATCAGGACTAGCCAAGGAAGTCGAAATAGGAAAAGGATGTTTAGGACGACGAGTGTAGTGCTTTGTAATTGGTGGATGACATGGTGAAGCAAGAAGGTTGGGTGGCTGATTATCAACAAGAGGTGGTGGAGATGTAGGAAGATTGGATGGCTGATTATCAAGAGTGTCGGGTGGTGGAGATGTAGGAAGGTTGGGTGGCTGATTATCAAGGGTGTCAAAAGACGAAGGAATATGAATAAGTGGGCTAGAAGGGGACACACATTGTGGAGTGGCATCATCACTGATTGAAATAGGAGGAAGGCACATAAAGGAGGTGGACTCTGTAGGAGCATATGATGACTTTGTAAAGGAGCTATAAAAGAAAGGGCGATCCTCAACAAAGGTGACATCATGGGAGATACGTATGCGGCGAGAAGAGGGATCATAGCAACGATAACCCTTGTGCTCAGGACTATATTCTAGGAAAACACACTCAACCGATTGAGCAGTCAACTTTGTTCGTTCACGAGGGGAAGAAGAACATAGCATAGACAACCAAAAACTTGAAGATGATCATAGTGAGGAGGAGTCCCAAAAAGAAGTTCACCAGGACACTTGCCAGACAATTTAGATGATGCTTGTCTATTAATAAGATACACAAATGTTGAAACAGCCTCTCCCCAAAAGTGTGAAGGAACAAAAGAAGCAATTAAAAGTGTGCGAGTTGTTTCTATCATATAATGATGTTTGCGTTCAGCAACCCTGTTCTGAGCATGAGCACCAGGACACGAGAGCTGAGCAAGAGTACCCTCAGAGTCTAGAAATCGGTGAACGGCAGCGGATGAATACTCCCCACCAGAATCGGAACGAAAAACTCAAATCAGGGTAGAAAACTGAGTGTGTACCATGCGAGCAAAGGTTTGGTAAATATCGCACAATTGAGACCGATGTTTCATGAAGTAAATCCAAGTATATTGAGAACGATCATCAATGAAAATAACATAATATTTATGACCACCCTTTGTAGCAAAAGGAGCAAGGCCCCATACATTAGAATGGATAAGATCAAAAGGTTTAGCAGCATGGGAATCAGTAATAGAATATGGGAGTTGTATCTGTTTCCCAAGCTTACAACCTTTACAATGGAAACTAGACTCGTAGATGTGGGACCTAAGCAACCTTTATTTATTAAATTAGACAAATGAGACCCACATAAATGACCAAGACGATGATGCCACTTGGCGAAGGACGAGGTAGATGGCGATGATGATGAGGCGGCGGACGACACATGAGCGGAAATGTGAGGAAGATGCAAGGTGTCGAGAACATAGAGGCTAGGTGAGACGCTATGGTGATGGCCAGTCCCAAGTACAGTCCTAGTGCGATGATCCTAAAGAAAGCAAGATGAGTCATCAAATCTAACAAAACAGTTATGGTCAGCAAGTTCACCAACAAAAAGGAGGTTCATAGACAACTGAGGTACAAAAGAGACATCAGGAACAGAAAAATAAGAGTTGGAAAGAGAATCATGATGAGTGATAGGACAAGATGTACCTTCTACTATTTGAACGAAGCACCATCAAGAACAAAGCTTGTAGGCCACAAGTTGAGACTGATCAGACGTCACATGGAAAGAAGACCTGGAATCAAGCACCCAAGATGAAGATGAAGAACCACCACCAGTAGTAGCAACTAACACAGATCCTCTAGGAGTGGAAACTATACCACGACCCCTAGTGGTCCGAGCAGCCCGACGAGCACGAAACTCAGCCAATTTCTCTGGATGATGCAAGAAACAATTATCCGGAGTATGGCTAGTTTTGCCACAATGCGGACAAGGCTCCTGAGAGACACCCTTTGGTGTACTGAACTTCTAAGAAGCAGCCAACACACTATGAGACACATGCATGGAAGAGGTCATAGACCAGAGACGTGTCTCTTCAGTGAGCAATTCTGATAGTGCCTTTGCCATGGTTAGAGTGGAAGAATCATGAAGTAACCAAGTACGTATGGAATCAAATTCTGCTCTGACACCCATGACAAAATTATAAGTAAGGAACTTTTCAATAAATCTGTAAATTTGGACAATCATCAGTTGTACACTGAGGCACCATAGAGGTCAAGGATCCCATCAGACAACCAAAAGCTTAGTAGTACTCATCAACAGACATGTCTTGCTGCTCAATGACATGAGTTTGCTGCATAAGAGTATGCAAAAGAGCACCACTGTCCTGAACATAGCGTGCCTTCAAGCATGACCAGATAGCCTTGGCTGTTTTACACTTGGTCAGACTCATAATCATAGATTGCTTAGTACTGTTAACCATGGCAGCCATCACCTTGCCATCATTAGTCTCGCCAAGTTTTGACATCAACAAAGATACTCCATCTTGCTAAAGTACAGGAGGATCATCAGTGAGATGAAAAAGGAGCCCATGACCCCTCAAAGCAGTTTCCACACAAAAAGCCCACTCTGGGTAATTCTGACCATCAAGGGTAATATTGATAACAATAGTGTTGAGCTACGACATGATTGAAAACTTCTAGCACACCAACAAGGATGAAGAAAATATGTTACCATCATGATTGGAAGCAGCCTGAGATGTTCTCTGTGGAAGCGAGAGGATGAAGCGAATGAAAGATAGTCTCTATGGAAGCAGAGGATAAAGCAAACAGAAATAGTCTCTCTGAAGCGAGAGGATGAAACGCACATGTTGGCGAGCGACGAGCGAGAGACCCCACAGATGGCCACGTGCATAGGTAGGCGGATGGCCAGGCGTGCGTGCAAGCGGAGTAGATGGTCATGCGGAGGGTCGCTCGGTCGTACGCGTCTGTCGGACGGACGGTCGCACGAACGAGAGGCCACGCGTGATGAAGGCGAGCAAACCACATGCGATGAAGATGAGCGCTTGATGAAGACGGTTGACGATGGGCCAAGCCACGTGAAGAACGAAGGAGCCACGATGGGTGGTGGATGGACGAAAAAATTGGATCCTAGGTGATTAGAGATTAGATTATCCCTAATTCGACCCCTAATCCTTGCTCTGATACCATGTTACTAACCTTTGGAATTTGAGAAGATAATCACTCCATTAGTGGAGATAGCTATATATAGAGAGCCACATGGGCCATATGGGCCTATATTAGATGGGCCTTCATATACTTAACACCTTTCATGCAACCCTACTGCGAGATGGTGGCGTGCCGACTACTGGCTTCGGCGACCGGCAACGAGCTACGCCATTAAGAATCCTTCCCCACGCCCTTCGTTCGTCTTGAGAAATCTACTGCAATGCTCACCTCAAGGCTGAAGTTGTGAAGTGTCATGCCTTACGCCCACCCCTATGTGTAACATGCTCGATAGAATGTCGCTTAAGTTTATGCCACTGGACTGGTCTGAAGCCAGCGTGTTACAATGTTTTGCCAAAAATTCAAATTTGAACTCTTTTTTTCTCCGTTTCCTCTCTTGTATATGCCCAGTTCTGGGTGGTTACATTGGTTCCTTACCCTTTTTTTCCTTTTGCCAAATATGTTACCATGGTTTCAAAAGCCATGTATCTAGGTGATTACACTTATACCCAATTCCCAAACATTGTCTTGTCTTGACCATATATTTTTGTATGCTAGTTGACGCCATCATGGCTATCAAAATTGAGTATGGAGTGAAGAAAAATTGGATGGGTGATCCATGTTTTCCGGTTAAATATGCTTGGGACGGTGTGAAATGTAGCAATGCAAGTGGTAACACTTCGAGAATAATATCGTTGTGAGTATCTGAAGCATTAATTAGGAGGTCCTAATGATGATCTTATATGCACGAGTATATTATCGGTGCATTTGATTTATGTTGAATTCAAATTCTCATGCAAAGATCTCTCCAACAGCTATTTGCATGGCCCAATATCCAACAATTTTACACTGCTCACAACACTCGAGAATTTGTAAGTGTCCTCTGCTTTCATTATTTATGACCACAGACATATGTTAAGTTCAGTTCGACTCTAACAACCAGAGGGCTGATGCGTGTGTAGCCTGGTGGTTGCGAGCGTCAGTCGAGTATCTGAAGCATTATTTAGGAGGTCTGCTGGGCGCTCCCCATGGGGCTAGGATCCCTCACTATCCAAACTGTCCTTGCAGGATGTGGCGCCTAGGCAAGCAGCCTTCGTGGCCTTTTATAGACCTAGGAGTCCTTCTAGACCTAGGAGTTTGTTTTCTAACAAGTGACAACATGCATTAAACATCATTTTGGTGCAAGTGTTGTTGTTCTGTCTCAAAATCTGTATTTGTCAGTCGAATGAATGAGACTATTGTACGGAAGCCTTTTTTTGTGTGTGACAGCAAGTTGCCATAACTTTATCATCATCATCTTTTTTGGTTAATAAATTAAATCCCTCTTACAGGTTAAATATCTCAATATTTAATGTACCTTCCTCTGTAGCTTTGATCAAATGGCTCCAGCAAATTTAAGTTTACATAATGCAATTAGAAAATCAATTGATGAACAACAGCATACTTGTCAGAACTATGTTCCCATTGACTGAACTATAAGGCTTTTATTTCCTACCACTAGCTTGATATGTCATAAATCATGGTCAATCTTGATAAAACCTAGATTTTTCCCCAAAATCCCTTCATGTATAGTTTGAATCAACTATCTATTTACTTTTGGCCTTGCTCAATTTAATTGTGCAAATGTTGCAGGGATTTATCTTACAACAATTTAAGTGGCTCAATACCTGATTCCCTACCAAGTTTACCTTCCCTACGAGTTCTGTAAGTGTATATTTGTTGCAAATTATTACGAAGCCAAGGACTTTACCTATTTTCTTTCATTTTCTACAGAAATGTATCTGGCAAGCAGTTGAGTAGTGACTCCCTATGTAAAAATTACACCGGGTCACTTGTTTTCAGGTTTTGAGTTTCTTCTCATTATCCAAAATGTCTCCGTTTAAGGCATTTTCTCCTTGAAAATAAGCCTAGGCCTGATTATCTTATATAATTTCAGATATGATCATGATGGGTCTAAATGCAACACACCATCACCAAGCCCACCACGAAATAAAGCAGCTATCATAGCTATTTCAGTAGTGGTTCCTGTGCTGGTGGTAGTACTTGTACTTCTTGCATATTTCGTCTGGCAGGAGAAAAGAAAGCCTAATGGTATGCATCATGTTGCTCTATTCTAAACAGATATGTATTAATGTTATCAGTTTATAATAGAGCGCTCTGTGGTTTTTAGGACTAGTTTCCATTCAAAAAACTGGACGGGCACTTGCCTTTTTCTCTTTTCTTCGTCTAATAGAAATCGCAGCAAAGCTTTTGTCGTCCTTTCTAAAAAAATAATAGAGCGCTCTTTATAATACTCCACCTTTCTTATGTGATACTAGTGCAACCACTTTTCACACTTAGCTCAACAAGGGATCCACAACCTGATAATGCTCTGGGAAGCATACAAAGTCATGAGGACAACCTGAAAAAAAAACTGAGAATCGCCGGTTCACATACAAAGAGCTGGACAAGTTCACTAATAATTTTAAGAAGTTCATAGGACGAGGTTTTGGATCCATCTACTATGGTCATTTGAAAGATAATACTGAAGTTGCTGTCAAGATGCGTTCTTTAGCTGAGGTACCAAATTTCAGCGACTTAGAAAAGTTGAAGGGGCATAATCAATTTGATAATAATATGTGTTCTGTATCTTGTTGCATAGGTTCAGAGCTTGACAAAGGTGCATCATAGGAATCTAGTGACTTTGATTGGTTACTGCTAGGAGAAAAATCATTTGGCACTGGTTTATGAGCACATGTCTCAAGGCAGTCTTTTTGATCATCTGAGAGGTTTGTCTATTGCAAGCCTGTTGAGTATTGATTTAGGCATAACCAACTATGTTACCTTTTCAAATTGCTTTGTAATGTCTATACATGTTTTAGAGCTGAGAAGCCATCTTGACTGACTTTTACATAATTTTGGTATCAGAAAATAGAAGCCTTTTTGGGGGTGTCTAGATGTCTTCCTTCTGAAGTGCCTAATCCATAGTGACAGCATGGTCACAAAATTTTCGCCAGCTTCCTTCTTATATTGTCCATCCATCTTAAATTTGGGACAATGGGGTGACTTGTTGCTGTCAGCTACACCGAGTTATCTCAAACCCAACTAGCAACCTATGCTTTATTCATGTTGGTGTAAATAGTAGATTGTAAGAGGACTTTTATGTAAGAATGAGAAGAAATGAATAGAGTGGGGGTGTGTGCTACGGACGTGAATAGTGGAGGAAGTTGGCTGCTGCCTGGTCATGCGGTTGCTGGGAAGGAGCAGAGGAGGAAGTCTACTGCCTAGGTGTGCGGCTGCTAGGATGGAGCAGAGGAGGAAGTCTGTGTGAGTGGCGGGGAAAGATTTATTCCTATCTTGTGTTGGTTACTGCTACTTTAGTGTTTGGGAAGAATTGAAGGCTACTTGTGAGTGTGTTGTGCTGATATGGTTGCTAGTGCTTGGGGAGAGTCTGATCCAAAAGGGACATGGATCCAGGGGAACCAAAGAAGAAAGCAGAAGAGGATGGGAATAAGGCGTCAGCTCAGAGCGGTGGCAAGAGTGGAGGTGATCCACTAATTAGCAAGAGTGAGATGAAAAATGAGATGAGTTCTATGATTCAGGAAATCTTGGAGATGGGTATGATTGGCCCTAGGGTGGTGCCTGAGCTAAAGTTGGAACTCATACCAAATGTGTGAAGTTAGAGGAAAGCAAGAATTATCTGAGTTGGTCCAAAAGAGTGAAAGTGCTCCTAGGAGAAAAAGGGGTAGAGCACTATCTGGCAGAGGATTGTGTTGAGCCAGCCAACAAGCTTAGCCCTGAGTGGAGAGTTTGGCATACAACAAACTCTACCATAGTGGTGTGGTTATTGGCATCCATGTCACCGTCTATTAGTAAAATGGTGGAAGCTATGCACACTGCAGCACAAATATGAAAAACCCTAAGTAACATGTATTCCAGGCGAGGAAATGTGATGGTGATGATGGAAATTTAGAATAAGGCCGATGCAGTGAAACAAGCAGGGTGGCCAGTGGAGCAATATGCTAGTGAGTTGCAGTAATTGTGGGGGGAGTTGGATCACTATGCTCCACTTCATATGAGAGATCCACAGGATGCCCAAGATGTCCTAAAGTGGGTAGAGGATAGGAGGGTGACTCATTTCCTAAGGAACTTGGATCCTGAGTTTGACAGTAGGAGGGCTGCCTTTTGTCACTAGGATAGTCTTCCTACCATGGAGGAGGTTGTGTCAGCCATGGTCATTGAGGAGAGCAGACTTCGGATGATGAGTAATAACAATCCTGTAAAGTCGGCCTACACCATAGTGGCAGAGAGGAAGTGCTACAACTGTGCAGAGGAAGGACACTTGAGCTACAATTGTCCTCTTCCTAAAAACTATGGTGGTAGGAGTGGAGCTCGTGGAGGTCGTGTCAATGCTCGTGGAGATCAAGGAGGTGGCCGTGGTGGTCGTGGAGGAGGTCATACAGGGGGTCGTGGCAGAGGCCGTGGTGGCCCTCAAGCCAATGCTGCTACCATGGAGAGTGGTCCTCAAGTCAATGCTACTACCATAGAGGAGGTTCCATCTCTCAACTTGACTGGGGAGCAGGTCATGCAGTGGGAACAATGGCAGAAGATCAAAGCATCTGAAGTCTCCAAGACTACTCCAGCCTGTCCTGTGATTGCCACCACCAGTCACTTTGGTAACTTTGCCAACTATGCCCACTTGGGCAAAGGTACTTAGGCATAGGCACTTGCATCCACATATAGGCATAACATAGAATGGGTCATTGATTCAGGAACTTACAAGCATGTCACAGGCATTTCTAGTTATTTTAAAACATACACTCCACATTCCTATTTTGAGACTATTCAAACTACTGATGGCACCTCCCAACCCATTCATGGTGTAGGATCTATAGAGTGTACTCCATTCCTCTGCTTATCATCTATTTTGCATGTTCCTTCCTTCCCAGACAATCTCCTCTCTGTTAGTTCACTTGTTGATCAGTTCAAATGCATTGTTACATTTGATGAAAATCTTTATATCTTTTAGGAGAAGAGGACTGGGAGAGTGATTGGGACTAGAGCCAGGCGTAATGGGCTGTGGTTCATCAACCAGGCGGGGTCAGCATTGGCAGCAACTGTTGGAGCAAAAGAGAGGGAGATCTTCTTACTTCATTGCTGGTTAGGACATGTGCCTTTTGAAAGCTTGAATAAATTGTATCCTGATGTTTTTAAGGATGTGGACAGAAACAAACTTGTGTGTGATGCCTGTGAACTTGGGAAGCATACAAGATCAACTTATCCTAGTATTGGTCTTCGTAGTTGTGAACCTTTTATGTTAATACACTCTGATGTTTGGGGTCCCTGCTCAGTTACATCTTTGAGTGGATTTAAGTGGTTTGTCACCTTTATTGACTGATGTACCCATATGACATGAATTTACATGCTTAGGGGTAAGCATGAAGTTCTTTGATGCTTCCAAGACTTTCATAAATTGGTTGCAAGTTAATTTAATGCCAAGATTTGAATTATCCGCACTGATAATGGGAAGGAGTATGTGAACAATGACTTTGTGGCATATCTCTTAAATCATGGAATTATACATCAAACCACCTGTCCTAATACCCCACCACAAAATGGTGTAGCCGAGAGGAAGAATAGACACTTGTTGGAGGTATCAAGGTCACTGATGTTTCAAATGAATGTGCCTAAGTATCTCTGGAGTGAGGCAGTGCTAACAACAGCATATTTAATCAACCGCATGCCATCCAGGATCCTTGGTATGGAGTCACCTTCTGAGCTTTTATTGGGACAACATGAGTTTAAAGTAACCCCAAGGTATTTGGTTGTGTTTGTTTTGTTAGGGACCACAGACCTTCAGTAGGAAAATTGGATCCTTAGGCGGTGAAATGTGTTTTTGTTGGATATTCTTCAACACAAAAGGGATACAAGTGTTGGGACCCTGTTGGAAAGAAATTATTTGTGAGTATGGATGTGACGTTTTGTGAATTTGAACCATACTACACAAAACCATGGGATCTTGATCCGTTCTTTGAGGAATTCTCTTCTCACTAAGAGTGACAGTAGAGAGGGGGAGAATGGTTGTGTGCAGAATGATAGGGTAGCTCAAGATGGGGTGATTGTTTGGGCTATCCCATGCCCAATAGATGTGCCTGTGGCTCAGGAGGTGGTGGATCAGGATACTATTGTGGATATGAGGAGTGATGTCTATGGGAATGGAGAGGTGATTCTTGATGGAAATGAGGAGGCGATTGTTGAAGGGAGTTAAGAGGTGATTGTTGGGACAATCCCTTGTTCTACAAATGAAATGGGGACAAAGAATGGGGACGCAGTTGCCAAAGAACCAATAGTGTATCGAAGGAGCCGGTTTAAAAGTCAGGGGGGCAACTCAGTTCACCACAGCAGCAACAGTCTATCTCGCCAGTCCCAAACCTCTCCTCGGATCTCTCTCCATCGAGCTCCTCGACCCAATCTGGGTCAAGTGGTAATATTTTTCCTACCCCTGAACATGTAGAGTTACCTCTTGCACAATGTAGAGACTAGACCCAATTTTGGAAAACCTCCTGTTCGTTATGGCTTTGAGCACCCTAGTACAGATCATGATATTGCCAATTTCCTCTCATATTCTCGTCTTTCACCTGCATATAGAGCATTTGTTGCATCTTTACAAACAGTGCCTATTCCAAAAGACTAGAGGTGTGCAAAACAAGATCCTAGGTGGAATGAAGCAATGAAAGAGGAGATGTATGCCCTTCAAAAAAATAAGACATGGGAGCTGGTCCAACTTCCAAAGGGGAAGAAGGCAGTGGGATGTAAGTGGGTCTTCACTGTGAAGCATAACCCAAAAGGAGAGGTGGATAGATACAAAGCAAGATTGGTTGCAAAAAGGTATAGTCAAACATATGGTATTGATTATGATGAGACCTTTGCTCCCGTGGAAAAAAATGGGTACTGTTAGGACCTTGATCTCTTGTGTAGTCAATTTTGATTGGCCTCTTCATCAATTAGATGTGAAGAATGCATTTCTTCATGGTGACCTACAGGAGGAGGTATATATGGAAATCCCACCGGGGTTTGCAAATAGTCAGCCTATGGGGAAGGTGTGTAGACATAGGAAGTCATTGTATGGGCTAAAGAAGTCATCCTAGGCGTGGTTTGATAGGTTCAGGTGAGCAGTTTGTGATATGGAATACACTCAATGCAATGGTGATCATACAGTCTTCTATACGCATAGGGGGACATTTATCACCATTATGGCAGTATATGTGGATGACATAGTGATTACGGGAGATGATGTGGAGGAAATCAAATGTTTGAAGGAGAATCTAGGAAGAGCCTTTGAGGTAAAAGATCTAGGACCACTTCGGTATTTCCTTGGGATTGAGATTGCTAGGTCGCCTAAGGGGATTGTTCTCTCTCAAAGGAAATATGTCCTTGATCTGTTGGCAGAAACTGGAATGCTTGGATGTGGGCCATGTAGTACTCCCATGGACAAAAATCATCAGACCAATGCCCAGTCTGGAGATCCAGTTAATAGAGAAACATACCAAAGATTGGTCGGGAGATTGATATACCTATGTCATGCAAGGCCTGATATTTCCTATGCAGTGAATGTGGTAAGCAGGTATATGCATGATCCCAGAACAGGACATATGGAGGTGGTCTACAGAATTTTGAGGTACTTAAAGGGAACCCCTGGGAGAGGGTTATGGTTCAGGAAGAGTGGGCACCTGAATTTGGAGGGATATTGTGATGCAGATTGGGCAAGTAGCAGGGACGATAGGAGGTCTACCTCTGGTTATTGTGTGTTTGTGGGAGGCAACCTTGTCTCATGGCGAAGCAAGAAGCAAGCGGTTGTGGCTCGGTCTACTGCAGAGGCCGAATATAGGGCAATAGCATTGAGCCTGTGTGAGATGTTGTGGTTAAAAGGCTTGTTGAAAGAGCTGCAGCTATTAAGGAATGAGACTATGATGCTTCATTGTGACAACATTGATTCGATCAATATTGCAAACAATCCCGTTCAGTTTGACCGCACTAAGCATGTGGAAATTGATAGGTTCTTCATCAAGGAGAACCTTGATAGTGGGATCCTAAGGCTAGGGTATGTAAAATCACGTAGTCAACTAGCGGATTGTTTCACAAAGGGTCTAGGACCTAGTGAGAATGGGTTGAGTTGTAACAAGATGGGCATGTTAGATATCTTTTGCCCATCTTGAGGGGGAGTATTGGTGTAAATAGTAGATTGTAAGAGGACTTTTATGTAAGAATGAGAAGAAATGAATAGAGAGGGGGTGTGTGCTGGGGACACACCAGTGTGACTTTCCCCCAAATTACAATAATTCATAATACTGTATGACTTCAGCTAATGTGTATACTCAAGGATTGGTCTTAATTTTTGTTCTTAAGCTGAGCAATAATTCAAATAGAGAAGATTGTAATAAAACTAGAAAAATAAACACACCATTTTTTTTGAAACTGATATGTGAATAATTAAACCATTCTTTTCTATTAAAACATCGAAGGTAAAAGTGGTGCTGCTGAAGCCTTGAATTGGAGAACACGTGTACAAATAGTGCTTGAAGCTGGACAAGGTATGCTGCAATAAAAACACATGAAGAAACCTGGACTCTTCTAAGTATATATCCTCCATGTTATATGATCATTTTTGGCATTTCCTGTATATATAAAGGCCTGGACTACTGCACAAGGGCTGCAATTTGCCAATAGTTCACCGGGATGTGAAGACTAGCAACATTCTCTTGGGTCAAAGTCTGCAAGTTAAAATAGCTGATTTTGGACTTTCCAAGACATATCTTAGCGATAGTCAGACTCACATATCAACAACTGCTGCTGGCACAGATGGTTACATGGATCCTGAGTATGTCTTTCCCTGTGTACTACTATTGACATTTTGGTAACTTTTTCATGTCGATATTTTTTAATGAATACATCGTAAACATCTGACTTTGCAAAGTACGTGAAAGAAAACCAGTAAAACTAGTGTTAATATAGGCAACAGGGTTTCTTATCCATGCAGTTTTCTTTTCTTTTTTTAAAGCAATCCATGCAGTTTTCTTATTCAATAAAAATTAGGCATGTCTGGTGTCGTTTTTCCTTGAACGTTCTCGTTACTGTTTCTTCAGGTACTACCTCACTTGAAGGTTAACCGAGAGCAGCGATGTGTACAGCTTCGGAGTAGTTCTGCTCGAGGTAGTCACAGGCGAGCCCCCAATAGTGCCAGGCCAAGGCCACATCATTCAGCGTGTCAAACAGAAGATTGCCACAGGCGACATCGGCTCAGTTGTTGATTTGCGACTTGGAAGTGCCTATGACATCAGCTCCATGTGGAAGGTAATCGACGCCGCTATGATGTGCACTGCAGATTCTGCTGCTCAAAGGCCGACGATGGCCACAGTTGTGATACAGTTGAAAGAGAGCCTGGTGTTGGAGGAAGCTCGTGAGAAGGACAGTAGCGCCAGGGCAAGCCGAGAGAGTGATATCGAAGCTAAGGTGTCCACATTTCGTCCATCGGCAAGAAGAATTTGTACCGGCCTGTACCTGGATTTGGTTCATCGCTGATGCATCCCTCTACAAGTCTACAACGAGTGTTTCTTATAAACTTGTCATGTGAAGACACACTGGTGTATATTTGTGCACTGTTTTGAATCTGCTTGTATATATGTATGTACAGGGACTTGGAGAGACCAAGCTTGTGTCTGCGAGTAATAAGGTTAAGTTGCAGTTTCTCCAGGGACTGTGAGCTCCCCATGCTTTCTATGTATTTTTAACAAATAGTTACCCTGTTTGGCCGTTTGTATGTAACTGACTAGTAATAGTGATAACAAAAAAGCTCAAATAATTTGAAGCGGATTGAGAAATTGTGCCTTTGCATTCCACCATACGTAGCTTTGTTATTTTCAATTGTTTTCCTTTGATATCCTATTGTCACTGACTACAATTTTAGATATTGTTAATTTGCTTTTTTTTGTGTTTTATTTTTAGAATTATCACAATTTCACTCTCTACGTTCCAAATTATGTCACTTTAAAAGTTGAATTTAGAGGCCAATTGGGCTGTTATTTAGAGGCTCACGCCTCTTTTAGTGGGGAAATACCATATCTATCTGGGGCCAATGTCCATTATATAAGCTTCAATATGTAATATTTGGGACTGTTCATTAAATTTCTATCATGTGGACTTGTGATATTTAGGAGAGTAAAGTCTTATGTCTCTCTGAATTTGGAAAAAAAATATCCTCAAACTTAAATATCAGACGACTTACCTCTCTTAATTTTTACAACCGAATAAATTACCCCTTAAAATATTTCAAAACGGTTTCAATGGTGGTTTTGGCTGATGTGGTATTTGGGCCCCACATGTATTCAGGTTTTTAAGTCATACCATCTTTTATTAAATATTTAACCTCTTAAAGGATCTCAAATGAAAAAAAATCAACTAGAAAGTTTTAGATCTCTACAAGCACTACAAATTTGGTATAGAGTGTGTCTTCATCCAAGGTTATTTTGAAAATTTCAAAAAATTCAATTTTAATAACTAGAGAACTTAAAATGAAAATTTAGGACTCCAAACAATCTCAAACAAAAAGATTTTCAACCACAAAGGTACATACCGCATTGAGATGTGTAACTTTGGTCTATACCATGTGCATGTATGAACTCATTTGGAAATTTCAAAAAAGTTGAATTTAAAGAAGTGAGAAATTAAAATGGATAATTAGGCCTCTAATAGATCTTATAGAAAATGTGATAACAACACAGTTGTAAATAGAATTAAGAGCAATAACTTTGGTATAGACCATGTCAACATCATAGGTTATTAGAAAAAAATAAAAAATTAAATTGAAAATCTAATAAATTAAAACTAATATTTAAGCCTCTAAAAGATCTCAAGTAAAAAAGTTGCCAGCTATAAATTTTTACATCACATAGAGATCTGCAATTTTGATATAAAGTTTTTATTCATCTGACTTAATATAAAAACTATGATTTTTGATATAACAGAAAGAGAAAGACCACCTAACATGTGGGCCACATCACCATATTAGCAAAACCACCCAGTAAACATCTTTGAAATGGTCAAGAGGGGCATTTTATCCAATTATGAAAGTTGTTCGGCATTTGGCTTTCAAAGTGTTTTTAACAAGTTTAGAGCTGCAAATCGGGCATTTAGGAATATCCATTTAGGATGGCATTACAATGTTTGATGTAAACGATATATCATGTATGCTATCACTTGTAATATATTATCCTATTTTGTTGTTATTATATGTAATTGTGATCATTTAAATTTGGTTATCATTGAAATTTGGTTATCATTGAAATTTTTATTTTGAAATTTTTTGTTTATCATTGAAGTCTGATAAATTTTATTTACAGAAATTGTAAACACTGCCATCGGATAGATTTTTCTCCCACAGGATCATTCGGTAAGGTCTTATGATCCTGGCCGCAGACCCATTGAAACCACCGGATGAAACAATGAACGCCTTGCCGGATTACCTGGTGACCTCAAAAAACGTCTTGAGTGTTTTTTAGTGCCAACAGTTTCCGAAACCTAGGTGCTACTCCACTTTCGGCTACAGACGTACATTGTTTTTGCCAACTATGATTAATTGACTAAGACGATAAAATTAGCAAGCTGGTGTAAGAAAATGTAGCCTGAAATTTTAAGAAACGGCCAACGTACGCTACATTAATTGTTTCTGATCCACACAAAGAGTTTCAGTCCGCATCAAGAAAGGTTCAGAGTTCACCAATGTCAACTATCAGAATAATGAGTAGGGCATTTCTTTTGGTAATTACAGTGACGCAACTGACGTACATCAGCAGCTTGGGGCTGTAGGAGAAGAAGTCAGTCAACGCCTGAACCCTCGAGGCTGGTGTTCGTGTTTGGTACTGCGGTTTAACGGTTCACCTGTTGGCTATTGGCTATTGCATTGTGCTATTATTTTTTCACAGATAGATCAACAGGGAGATACTATAATACAAATATACCTTTCATCGGATACGGAAGCAAGCATCACTTGTGGCCAAAGTAATAATATATGACGCTTATCGGTGGTCAATCCTCACTTAAGCAAGAGAAGAATTTCCTTTCGACACTAAAAGTATGTTCCCTGTCCTATTTGACATTTTCATAACATGGAACATTATTGTTTTCTAACAATCATTTCTCGTGTTAGATTTTTGGGTATGACAAAAATGCCCTTGTTAACATGTCAACTTGATCCCCGATTTTGCCTCTGTTTATATCACCTCCGCATTTTATACCTGAGTCTGACACTATACCACACACCATCTACACCAAACTACGATCCATAAGTGTCGCATAAGTCATAACGACTGTGGATCGATCAGTATAACCTTTCATCAACCGATGGCATTAGATGTTGTAAGTGGCGTCAACACTATTAGTTATATCGACACATGATCTGTTATAACTTTTACCGACCAATGATTTAATGGTATATATGTTTTTACTGACTAGAGTATACCATCTTGTGAGGGAAAAGGTGATAGAGACTAGGCGTAATATACTCTGGCCATTGACAGCCAGCCTTCGATGAATTGTGGCGTGTGCTGGTGCTTATTCACGACATTATCGTCACTCTCGGCATGTCTAACTGTAGTCTGACAGTACAATAGATAAGCCACTACTGAATGAACTGAATTAGTTGTGGAAGTAGTCTAAAAAGACAATACCTCATAAAAATAGTCTATATAGATATCTCTCATGTTTACGCCTGTTAACACTAGACGACATCTTCCTATCACCACTTTGTCTTCCTTTCACGTCAGATAAAATCATAATATGTGGCACCTCTCGAGACAGCAACAGGTCACGACCGTTTGTAGTTGGTCAATACTATGAGGCATGGAAACTCTAGCTAGGAACTTCGAGCTATAGCATCTTCAAAAGCCCTTTAAAACAATTTTCTAATTCGTTTCTACACTAGTATTGTTTGCAGGGCGTCTTACAATCTGGTCTGAGCCAAAACCACCCAAAATGCAGCCCAAGAACCAACAAGATCGTACTAGCATTGCTCGCAAAGCATGTTCATTTCGATGTGGCTCCGTCTTTACAAACCTTCTTCCGATATCTCTTGTGCACCATCTTGAATATGAAGGAAAGGTGTATGTGGAGGGCTTGCTAAAAAAAGAGGGTTCTCCTAGAGAAGCCCGAAGGAAGAACTTAGGATAGATGCAGAACTAGACATGGTGTGGACCTCCGTGGGACTACAAAGAGTAAATCTGAAGGAACCTATCCATCACAATCGACACTGTTGGTGATAGGTGATAAACAAAAAGATAGAAAATATATGTTTTTCAGGATTCAGAGTTGTAGACCTCAACGTTCACATCTCCGCAAGTGCATATATGAACTGAGCTACGCGACACATGTGACTATATAGCTGACGCTATTCTTGCAATTAACTACACATTTTTTGAATTTATATTGTATATTTGACACTCAAAACAATCTCAAATGAAAAAGTTGTTAACTGCAAAGTTGTAGATGTTGTTAAGTATTACAAATGTGATGTTGACTTTATCTCCATTCAACATTGGTAATCATGTCAAATTTGATCCGAGAACTTATATTGAATACTTCTCAAATTAGAAAATTATCAACTACAGAGTTTTAGATCTCTTTAAACTTTACAATTTTGATATAAAGTTTATTTTAATCCGATCTCATATGAAAAAGTTATAATTTTTTTTTTTGTAAAACCGATTCGACCGGTAGTGATCACCGGTTCAAGCCACAGACCGATAGTGATACTCTATCACTGTCGGTTCTAAAATAACAGGCAGTGATGGACTGACAGTAAATGTCAGTTCTGTAGTAGTATATGTCATATTAGTTAGCTAGCCTTCTATTAAAAATGAAATTTTCACTCGATTGCCACCTCTAAGAATTGATTGGTAGGAGGTGATCCTCTTATTTTTCTTGTCCCACCAAAACTCTGCTCATGCGAAACAAACAAAAGAAATCTAAACACTTACCTACAAACTACCGTTCCCTTACAAATGATCAAAATTGTAAAATATGGTTCTTTTCTATAATTTTGATTAAAGTTAATATTGTTTGATTTAGAATAAAATTGGATCCCTTATATTTCACGACGAGGTAGTACCTCCGAACTACCGTCCCCTTACTCAAAATTGTAAATTATATATACTATGACTTGATTTAGTAGGCGTGCATTCGTGCAGTTTTTAATTAACAAAGAAGATTTTTTTTTTCTCTATGGATGGAATGCTGACATATATATAGTAATATAACTCTATAAATACTAAGACAGAGTGCCTCTTACTCTTAGCTAGTGCTGCGATGATCGTCGTTCATAGCTCAGACCATTAAGATGGCGCTCACGTTCTTGGTGTTACTACTGGTATTTGCCCCTGTCGCCGTCAGCCAGCAAGGTATACCAATCTGTGGCTTCACTGCGTCGATCATATCATATGACCTCGGAATTATCGATGAAGAATCGTGCTGGATGCAGATTTTCTGAGCATCGACTGCGGCCGTGACGCCAACTACAGCGGCTACACGGACAGGGAGACCGGCATCTTCTACGTCTCTGACGGCTCCTACATCGACGTCGGCGAGAACCACAGGATAGCCGCCGAGCTCGCGGGCTTGTGGTCGGACCTCTATCAAACGCTGAGGAGCTTCCCGTCCGGGCAGCGGAACTGCTACGCGCTGCCCACCGTGGCCGGGACCAGGTACCTGGTGCGGGCCTTCTTCGCGTACGGCAACTACGACGGCAAGAACAGCTCATCGCTGCAGTTCGACCTGCACCTGGGGTCCAATTACTGGGAAACCGTCTACCCGGATCCATGGAGAAACAAAGCGCGCGAGGCTATCTTCGTCGCGTGGGCAGGCTGGGCGCCGCTGTGCCTCGTCAACACCGGCCAAGGCACGCCGTTCGTATCTGTCCTGGAGCTCAGGCCGCTCGGGGCGCTCTATCCGCTGGTCACACCCGGCCTCATCATATCTAGATATAAACGGCTAAATATGGGTGGGAGCGATTCAATTATACGGTACTTTCTTCTTTCTATATATAAATTACATATACTACTAGGAGCATCTATCTCCAAAAGTCTTTTAAAATTTACTCTCTAAATCATCATTTAAAAAGTCATTTAAGTAAATATCGCCTTTTATATCTTTGTAGCCTCCAACAATTTTTTTATATATATCGTGCGCAGTCTAAAGAGCAATCATCGCTCTCCATCTTTGGCTAGCAAGAAGTCAGGATTTTTTGTTCAAGAAAAAAAAGAAGTCAGGATTAGAGGATGTCTATGTTTGAAAATCTAATTAAAAAAACTGTTGGAGAATATTTTTTCACCAAAATCTCTATTTTTATAAATTAGAAAGCATACATAGAGTTTCTTGAAGTTGATCTAAGAGCATCTCCAGAGTTTTTTCTCTCCAACAACTCCCTACCTCCCAATCTTTTTGCACTAGAGAAAATTTATCCAATCATATGAAAATGCGCATCAATCGGCAATCTAGAGGTGGAAGGGAGTGGGAAGAATAATGAGTACAAGATTATTAATGCAAATGTACAAGAGAAAAAAAAACTCTTAAAGTGGTTGGGGTGATTTAGAAGTAGTTGATGAATTTATAAAATAAGGAGTACAACAAGGTTCTCAATGCAAAATTAACTTCTATATTTTAGAAGTGAAATTTTAGAAATTGTTGAAGGAACTCAACAAATGTGTTCCCAACTTTTTTAGCCACTTGAAAAACTCATTGACTTATCAATTTTTTTTGGTACTATTGGAGATGCTCTAATGTCCAGTTTATCTTCCTAAACTTATTGCTAAATTTTAAAAACATTATTGAACTCAAATATCAGACAACTTACTCTTCAACTTTCAAAACTGGACGAAATATATGCTAGGACGACCATTTCAAAGTAGTTTTCTGGGTGGCTTTGCTGACATTGTAGTGGGATTCACATGTCAGAGGTTTGTCCCATTCTTTTATATGAAAAATTCATAGTTATTTTATAGTAAGTTGGATGGATACAAACTTTGTATTATATAGAACTCGACTCGATCTACAACATTGTAGTTGACAAATTTTTATTTGAGACCTTTTAGAAGCTCAAATATCATTATAAGTTATTAGGTTTTGAAATCCAATTTTTGATTTTTTTTTTCAAACGACTTAGGATGTTGACATGGTTTATACCAAAGTTGTAGATTTTAATGGGATCTACATCTTTGGTGTCGATGACTTTTTTATCTCAAATTATTTAGAGACCCAAATATTCATGTGTAAGTTCTCAAATTTTGAAATTTATTTTTTTATTTTCAATGACCTTGGATGTTGATATGATCTATACTAAATTTTGTAGCTTTAAATGTGATCTACACCTTTTGCAGTTCACACATTTTTATATGTGAAGAGATCCAAATATTTCAAGCCACCTCGAACATTAACATGGATTGTACCAAAGTTAGATCTCAATGTGGCCTATGTCTTTGTGGTTCATGTTTTTTTTTTTTAGATCATTTAGAGAATCAAATATTCGTTTTAAATTTTCTGATTATTAAATTCAAAATTTTCATTTTTATCTAACGACCTCGAATGGAAACCTGATATATACCAAATTTTTAGTTTTTAAGAGATCTAAAACTTTCTAGTTAATTTTTTCATGTGAGGTTATTTAGAAACAAACGAGATTTTTTACTATGCTTGGTAGGAACCACCGGTCCTCTCTATAGGATTTTTTGCAGCCGTCTGATGTAACTGAGGGCAGATTAGTCATCCTGCTGCGGTCATAAACTTTGGCGGACATTTTTTTTCCCATGGCACGGACGCAACTCGCACACGGAACGGCCTCGCCGCCGCTGCCGCCGCCTCCCCAGGCCTCATTGCCAACCGCCAGGAGAGGCTCGCCGCCAACTATCTGCATGAGCTCTCCGGACCTTGCTTGCAAAGGCCTGCCAGTCCACCGGTTGTAAGGGATCCGCTGGTCGAGCCGGTTGCAGGCTGACAGCAGCCTCCTAGCGTCGGTGTGTGCCTTGAAGTTGAAATGGCAGCAGCTGTTGTTCGTCGGAGCCGGAGCCGGAGCCGAGCACCAGCCGTCCCAAAGCTCCACTGGTGCCTAGACCCGACATGCGCCTCCCCGCCTCGCTGTCAGTTGCGTACTCGTGCTAGCCCATGATGGCATATCGGCGATCGGCGTGTCCGTCAAAAACGATAAAGTAGCGATGAGGCTGTTGTTTAGTGAATCAGTAATGGTGTCACCAGTTTGTATGGCAAACAATATTTGAGCTGGGAGTGGATTCGGCATCACCGGCCTCAAACGTTGCCGCCGCCGAAGGCTACCAAATCGGATCTGCCAGAAATCATGAGATGTGAAAGCACCATCATAGCCTTTGATTTTAATTTGGAGCTAGTTCCTGGCCCAAAGATTTTAGGTTCCGGCCCACAATTTAAGTTCCTCTAAATTAGTTCTCCCTATTTTGTAGCCATTAGATTAACCTGAATGGATGGCTCTAATATTTTCCAAGTACTGTAAAATTTCACGAAACATAATATTAAATAAAAGACGGTATGTATGACTAAAAGACGCTCTCATGTCACGTCAACAAAAACCACCATCGAAATCACTCAACTATTTTGGTTGTGGGTGGTGGTGGAGGTGTGGGGGTTAATTTATCTTGTTTTGAAGGTTAATAAGGAGGTAGGTTGTGTTGTACTCAAATTCGAGGATGTCTTTTAAATTAGACTTTACTCTTCTAGATTATAGATCATTTTAGCTTTTCAATATATTGGTCCTGTTCGTTTCTCTTATAATCCGTCTTTTTCAGCTTATTTTTTCAGCCGGAACATTATTTTTCTCTCACAACAAATCAGCCGGAACAATGTTTTGGCTTGTTTTTTTCAGCGAAGCGAACGGGGCCATTTACTTATAGCTGCTGAATAGTGTATATATTATTAACTCGAAACGAGAGAGACTGCATGTTCTTTTTGGATATTATTTATTAGTTATTTATTTATATAATATATAATGTACATGTATGAGCTCATTTGGAACTTTCAAAAAAGTCTTTCTCTTAATTCGGTGAAGGTATCCTGATGATCCATACGACCGTTTCTGGTGGCCGATGGACAATGCTAGCCCACGGTGGGTAAACGAATCGACTACACGGCCCATTCAGCTGGACACGAGCGATTACGGCGCGCCCTCGCGCATTCTGCAGACGGCCGTCGCGGCATCGGGCAACGACACGGCGCTCACCGCCATCGCCTGGCAAGCTGACAGTGACACGAGGCCCTACTCGCTTATGATACTCCAGCACTTCACCGACTTCCAGGAAACCCAGCTTCGGCAGTTTGATATCTTCATCAACGAGAAGGATGAGCCGGGGGCGAGGCAGGAACTCAAGTCGTACAGCCCCTCCTACCTGAGCTCATCTTCATCCCCCGTGTCCACTGTTGACTACAGGGCTACCGACGGCTACTACAACATCACTCTTGTTCGAACCAACGCCTCCGCGCTGCCTCCGATGATCAATGCGGTGGAGATCTACGTTCGCGTCCCGTACGAGAATCCGACGACGCTCCCTCAAGACTGTAAGTTTGTAAGCTAGCCATCAAAAATATACTCCATCCATCCAAACTAAAAAAAACTAAGCCTTAAAGAAAATAGAAAACACCAAGATTTGACCGCACCTAAGGAATTAGGCGACCCTTACAGGCTTCCAAGGCCCGGACCTTGCAGTTTCTTAGCACCTGCTAAGCACCAGAGACTGTGTTCATCCTTAAGCAAACTCAAGATTAGGTTAACTGAAGGAGAAACACCTTTAAAACCACAAGCATTCCTATGTTTCCAGGTCATCCGAGCACCCAAAGCGACAAGGGAATTAACACCCTTGAATACATGTGTATGGCCATACAGGTACAAGTATGGGTTGGTGGCTACACACTAGAGGAAGTGACCTCTGCTTTGCTCGCTTACATACGAGTTGAGCACGGCTGCACCGTCACGGAAAGAACCTTCCATGCTTGATTTCTCTCTTCCACCTCCTTCCTGCTGTGATAGTGTTGGCGTCCGGCGATCAGGGTGGCAAGGACCTCACCTCTAGCACACGGCGGCGAGCTGCGCCATTAAGCATCCTTCCACGTACCTTGCGCCCACCCTTGTACCCAACGTGCTCGATTAAATGTCGCTTAAGGTTATGGCACTGAACTGGGTCTGAAGCCAGGATGCTAAAATGGTTTGTCAAAGATTCTACTGCTTCGAGTTGATTTTTTCCCTTTTCCTCTCTTTTATATGCAGTTGTTTTGTAATTCTTGTATCTAGGTGATTAGACCCACTTCCCAAACATAGTCATGACCATTTTTTTTTTTTTGCATGCTAGTTGACGCCATCATGGCTATCAAAATCGAGTATGGAGTGAAGAAAAACTGGATGGGTGATCCATGTTTTCCAACCAAATATACTTGGGAGGGCGTGAAATGCAGCAATCCAAGCGGTAACACATCGAGGATTACATCACTGTGAGTATCTGATACATTATTGAGGAGTTCCTACACCATGATCTCGTATGTGCTAGTATATTACTAGTGGAATCAGTAACTGATTTATGTTGAATTACAAATTCTCATGCAGAGATCTCTCCAACAGCTCTTTGCGTGGCACAATATCTAAGAATATTACACTGCTCACAGCACTCGAGAATTTGTAAGTGCTATATAACAGGCTAATGTCCTCTGCTTTCATTATTTATGTTCCCAAGACTTAACGTTCCATGACTGCCAATCCCATTACCTATGATCATGATAAGTCAGTTTATTTGGCTTACGTGTTCTGTGCTAATAACTTTGTTGGATCAGTCTAGAGATATTTTTTGGAATGAATCCAGATTACAGGCCTCTGTAAAACTATAATACCATAAACCACACTCCCCAAGCTCAAACCTCTATACTGAGGAGATAGGACTCGTGACATATGTTGGGTTCTACTGTAGTAGCATGCATTGCACCTCATTTTCGGGCATGTCTTGTTCTGTTTCAAATCTGTAGTTGCCAATAGAATGGATGAGGCTATAGTAGGAGAGCCTTTTTTTGCCATATTTGGCATAACTGCATCATCATCTTTTCGAATTAATAAACTAAATCACTCTTTTATGTTTAAATTTATCAATATTTAATGTACCTTGCTCTTTAGTTTTGATCAAACGGCTCCAGCAAATTTAAAAGGACATAATGCTGTTAGAAAATTATTTGATGTGCCAGAGCATACTTGTCAGGACTATGTTCCCAATCCCAATGATTGAACTACAAAGCTTTTATTTCTTACTAGTAGCTTGATATGCTAAATTCCTTTCCTGTAGAATTTGAATCGAAATATCTGTGTACCTTTTGCCTTACTGTACTTGTGCAAATGTTTCAGAGATTTATCTTACAACCAGTTGAGCGGGCCAATACCTGATTCCCTACCAAGTTTGCCTTCCCTACGAGTTCTGTAAGTGTATATTTTTCGCAAATTATTACCAACCCAACGACGTTACCAATCACCTTTCACTTTCTACAGAAATGTCTCTGGCAACCAGCTGAGTGACGAGTCCCTATGTAAAAATTATACTGGACCACTTATTTTCAGGTTTTGATTTTTTTCTCAATATCCATTCCATTAATATGCTTCTGAGTTTTGTATTGTATCTCTTGCTGTAACCTTCAAACAAGTGACTGTTTAAGACATTTTCTCCTCGAAAATAGACCCAGTTCTGATTTTCTATACTTTCAGACATGATGGTGGCTCTGTATGCAACAAACCTTCACCAAGCCCGTCAACAAATAAAGTAGCTATCATAGCTATTTCAGTAGTGGTTCCTGTGTTGGTAGTGATTTTACTTCTTCTTGCATATTTCATCTGGTGGGAGAAAAGAAAGCCTAATGGTGTGCATCCTGTTGCTCAATTCTTTACTGACATGTATTAACGCTTTCAAATTCTAATACTTGACCTTCTTATCTGATACTAGTGCAACCAGTCCCCATACATGGCCCAACAAGAGACTCAGAACCTGATAATGCTTCCGGAAGTAAAAAAAGTCATGGGTACAACCTGAATAAAACCGAGAATCGCCAGTTCACATACAAAGAGCTTGAGAAGTTCACTAATAATTTCAAGAAGTTCATAGGACAAGGAGGTTTCGGGCCCGTCTACTATGGCCGTTTGGAAGACAGAACCGAGGTTGCTGTCAAGATGCGTTCTGAATCATCATCACATGGGCTTGATGAATTTTTAGCTGAGGTACCAAATTTCAGTGGCCTAGAAAAAGCATATTATCAATTTAACTTTGCAAATAATATGTTTTCCATACCTTGTTACATAGGTCCAGAGCTTGACAAAGGTGCATCACAGGAATCTAGTGTCTTTGATTGGTTACTGCTGGGAGAAAGATCATTTGGCACTGGTTTATGAGTACATGTCTCAGGGCAGTCTTTTTTATCATCTGAGAGGTATGTCTATGGAAAGCCTATTGAGTATTGATTTAGGCATAACCAGCTATGTGACCTATTCAATTTGCTTTTGAAATATCTATGCATGGTTTGGACCTGAGGAACTATCTTGACTGGCTTATAAATAATTCTGGTATCTGAAAAATCAGAAGCCTTTTGTGGGGTATCTACACGTCTTCCTACTGAAGTGCCTGATCCTTAGTGACAGCATGGTTGCGAAATATTTGCCTGCATCCTGCTTATATCATCAGTACATCTTAACATTGGGATGAGGGGTGACTTGATGCTGTGAGCTACATCCAGTTACCTTTATTTACTTTAGTGTAGGATTTCAGCTAATGTGTATGTTAGAGGATCGGTTTTATTTTGGTTATTGACTATATTGCAATTCCATTATAGAAGATTATATCAAAACTAGGAAAACGAAACATTCCATAAATTTGTTGAAATTGACACGTGAAGCTTTTAAACTGTTCTGTTATGTTAAAACATTGAAGGTAAAAATGGTGTTTCTGAAGCATTGAACTGGAGGAAACGTGTACAAGTAGTGCTTGAAGCTGCACAAGGTATGCCGCAACAAAGCACATCAAGAAAACTGTAATTAAGCAAATCCTTCATATGGTCATTATTGTTATTCTCATTTTTTGGCATTTCCTGTGATATATAAAGGCTTGGATTATCTGCACAAAGGTTGCAATTTGCCAATAGTTCACCGTGATGTGAAGACCAACAACATTCTCTTGGGTCAAAATCTGCAAGCTAAAATAGCAGATTTTGGACTTTCCAAGACATATCTTAGCGATACACAAACTCACATATCAGCCACTGCAGCTGGCACAGCTGGTTACATGGACCCTGAGTATGTATTATCTTTCCCTGTGTATTATATTAACATTTTGGTATTTTTCCATGTAGCTTATTTCTGAATGAGTACTAAATGAAAGAAAATTAGTAAAACTCGCCTTAACACAGGCAACATGGTTTCCTTGTCTCGCAGTTTTCTTATTCAATAAAATTAGGCTTGTCTGGTGCTGTGTTTTGTGAACACGAATGTAGCGTAGCTGTAGTGAGGCATAGCTGCTGGTATGAAGTGTTTCTCTTGAACTTGTTGCTGTTTCTTCAGGTACTACCACACTGGAAGGCTCACTGAGAGCAGTGATGTGTACAGCTTCGGAGTTGTTCTGCTTGAGGTAGCCACCGGCGAGCCCCCAATAGTGCCAGGCCATGGCCACATCATTCGGCGTGTTAAACAGAAGATTGCCACTGGTGACATCGGCTCAATTGCTGATCTGCGACTTGGAAGTGCCTATGACATCAGCTCCATGTGGAAGGTAATCGACACCGCAGTGATGTGCACCGCGGATTCTGCTGCTCAAAGGCCAACGATGGCCACAGTTGTGATACAGTTGAAGGAGAGCCTAGCGTTGGAGGAAACTCGTGAGAAGGACAGTAGCATCAGGGCAAGCCGAGGGAGTGATATAGAAGCTATGGTGTCCACATTTCGTCCATTGGCAAGATGAAGCTGTGCCTGAACCTGGATTCGGTTCATGGTTGATGCGTCTGTACTAAAAGTCTACAATGGGTTTTTGGTGAACTCCTTGTCATGTGAAGACACTCTAGTGTATAACTGTGTGCTGTTTTGAATCTGCAATTGCTTGTGTGTGTAAGGACTTCGAGAGTCCACGCCTGTGTGCGAGAGTAATAAGGTTTGTTGTGAGCTTGCAGCTTCTCCAGAATCCAGATATTATGAACTCCCCAGGCTCTGTAAGTATTTGTGACAAATATTTCCCATGTTTGTATGTAATTGCATCGTACTAATAACATAAAGGATTGATTAATTTGAAGCGAGGGATCCAGAAATTGAGCGTGAGCCTTTCCATTCCACCATGCATAGCTCTGTTCAATTTCAAACAGTTTTCCTTAGATATCCTATTGCCACCACGATCACACTTTTTTTCGTGTATTTTACTGGTTGAATTATCACAATATTATCTGCTTAGATAGCTACCTTTCTTACATCCCTGTTTACTTTTCCTGTGATCATTGTTGTCACTAAAATTAGAATTTATGTTGTGTCTGTTATTTAGTTTGACTGTTACGAGTTTTCTCTCCTTGTTACAGATTTATTTGAATGTTCAGGGCCTGTTTGGAACACGGAAAAATTCCTGTTGTGTGTTTTTCCTATGAAATTAAACTAATTCATGTGAAAATTCTGCATGATTCCTGTAAAATTCCTACATTCCAAAAATTCCCCTCAGCACCCTTACATTGAATATTTTAGTTTTTATTGGCTTCTCCAAATTAAATTTGCAATGGCAAACTAAAAGTTCCCCAAATCCCTAGTCTATAAATATAGAAAGGAAACTTGCATATAATCCCAGGTTGAAAGCTCTGGTTCTGTTATGGTCGGCAAGACTTATGCTAGGCGAAGTCCCTAAGAGTCCTAGCAGATTTAGTTAGTTGAGAGTTTTAGGGATTGGGTTCAGATTAGTAGCAGAGTTTGTTAGCCTAATGAGTCAAGTTGTTTCGGTTTGTAAGGACTATAAGAGTCCAACTTTGAGAAGAAAGGAATTAGCCTGGGATTGTGTCATAAGACACCCTTGGGCGCCTGGCGCTCCCTGTCAACTCGCTCCGCAGCCCTAAACCCTCGTCGACAGCACGGCGCCGCCGGCCCGACGTCGAGCCTTCAAGCCCCGGCCTCCAATCCACCATAGCTACAGCCTTAGGAGCTTAAGCTCTAACAACCTGGTATCAGACTTGATGGCCTCATCTGGGACCTCGTCACAGATCTCCAACCCCTCTGCGCCCCTGGTCACGCCGACCATTGGGGTGTCGCAGCCCATCGCCTCGTCCGGGGCGCTCGTTCCCACCACCACCCTGCCCCTGTCATCGCCGCCGCCACCACCGCCCCAGCTGTACGCCATCCCCGCCGACACGCTCCAGCAATTCACGAACGCCGTCCAAGGCATCCAGAACCAGCTCGCCTTCATGAACTTCCAGATGGGCGATCTGGCGGCGCGCGTCGGGGCCATCGACGGCCGCGCCTCCCCCACGATGGCGCAGTTTCATCAGTCCGCGTTGACGGGTTCCGGCGGCCTGCCAGCGTCCTCCATGCCGGCGCTCACGGACATCAGTTCGTCCGCGCCATCGGCGCCTTTGGCCTCGGGCCCAGCCTCGGCGCCTCTCACGTCGGCCGCGGCTCCCCAGTTTGGCGTGCCGATCACACACATCTCCTTCCCTCACTCGCCGTCCCCCGTGCCGTCCTTCGAGTCCATCGTGGGGGCGACGGCTGTGTCCACGGCACCCGCGGTGGAGACCCCTCCTCGCGTGCATGTTCCGCCGGCGCCGGAGGCTGCATGGGAGGGTCACGTCGTGCCCAAGTATCATAAGCTTGTGTTCCCCACCTTCGACGGGAAGGAGGACCCACTGGGGTGGTTGAACAAGTGCGAGCAATTCTTCCAGGGCCATCAGACGCGCCACGCCGACCGGGTCTGGCTCGCGTCCTACCACCTCACCGGTGTCGCGCAGCAATGGTACCTGGTCCTCGAGGCCGATTCCGGCCGGCCGCTGTGGGAGGAGTTTCGCACGCTGTGCCATCAGCGGTTTGGGCCTCCCCTGAGCACCAACCATCTTTCAGATCTGGCCCGGCTGCCGTTCACGTCGACGGTCGACGCTTACATGGAGGCGTTCCAGGCGCGTGCTGCACACGCTGGACGTCTCTCCCCAGGGCAGAAGGCGAAGCTCTTCACGGGTGGCCTGCCCGAACATATCCGCGTCGACGTGGAGCTCCATGACCCACAGGACCTGCAACGCGCCATGCACCTGGCCCGCGCCTACGAACGCCGGAACGCGCCGGCTCAGCTTGCTCTGCCTGCACCATCGCGACGTCGACTTGCCGGATCGTCGCCGGCCCTGACCGGCCCGCCAGGAACGACGTCCTCTTCGGGTTCTTCATCGACACCGGCGCCTCGAGCCTTCAAGCGCCTTACACCCGAGGAGATGGCGGAGCGTCGAAAGCAAGGCCTCTGCTACAACTGTGACGAGCCCTACGTCCGGGGCCACAAGTGCGCCCGCCTGTTCTTCCTCGAGGCGGCCGATTACATAGTCGAGGAACCGGACGAGCATGACGACGCCGACACCCCGCTGACCGCCGACCCTCCGTTCGACCCCGACAAGCCGCTGATTTCGCTCTCGGCGATCACCGGCATACGGTCCGAGGAGACGATGCAACTCCGTGTGCGGGTGGGGCCGCACGAGCTCACTGCTCTGCTGGACTCGGGCTCTACTCATAACTTCATCAGCCGAACTGCGGCCCGACGCGCGGAGATCCAGTTCCAGGACAGCGAAGGCGCTCATGTCATCGTGGCTAATGGAGATCGCGTCATGTGTCGCGGCGTCGCACGCGACGTCGGTCTCCGGATTGGGGCCGAAGCCTTCCCCGTCGATTGCTACGCCATCCCGTTGGACTCCTACGACATGGTCCTCGGCATCGCTTGGCTCCGCACCCTCGGCCCTATCCTTTGGGACTTTGACAACCTGTGCATGGAGTTCACGTTCAAGGGCCGCCGCGTGCTGTGGCATGGAGTCGGCTCGCCACAAGATCGCGGTCAGTGCACCGCTTTCGCCGCGCCGCTCCGGTGTCATCCGGGGTTCTCGGCCAAAGGGACCGAGCCTGCCTCTCCTCGGCGCTTTGAGTCCCTACGCCGATGTGTTCGCCCCGCCGACCGGACTGCCTCCACCGCGCGCGTGTGACCACAGGATACACCTCAAGCCGGCCACAGAACCAGTTGCGGTGCGTCCTTATCGCTATCCACAATTGCAAAAGGACGAGCTGGAGAAGCAATGTGAAGAGATGCTGCAGCAGGGCACGATCCGCGTCAGTACGTCCCCATTCTCGGCGCCGGTCCTGCTAGTCAAGAAGCAAGACGGATCGTGGAGGTTTTGCGTGGACTACCGCGCCCTCAACGCGGTCACTGTGAAGGACAAGTTCCCCATACCGGTCGTCGAGGAGTTGCTGGACGAGCTCCATGGTGCACAGTTTTTCACGAAGCTCGACCTCCGTTCGGGGTATCACCAAGTGCGCGTTCACCCGGACGATGTGGCCAAAACGGCGTTCCGCACTCACCATGGCCATTTTGAATTTTTGGTCATGCCGTTCGGCCTCTCCAACGCGCCGTCGACGTTCCAGGCCCTCATGAACATGGTGCTGAAACCCTTTCTCCGCCGGTGCGTACTCGTGTTCTTCGACGACATCCTCGTCTACAGCGCCTCGTGGACGGAGCACCTTCTTCAGCTGCGCGCAGTCCTCGAGGTGTTACGCGCCCATCGGCTCCACCTCAAGGGGTCCAAGTGCTCCTTCGCGGCTCCAACAGTTCACTACTTGGGACACGTGATCTCGCATGCGGGTGTCGCCATGGACGTCTCCAAGGTCGCGGCAGTGCAGTCTTGGCCGCAGCCGAGGTCTGCCCGTGGCCTTCGTGGATTCCTTGGCTTGGCGGGATATTACAGGCGATTCATCAAGGATTACGGCACCCTCGCCGCGCCTCTGACCAGCCTCCTGCGCAAGAATGCGTTCCTGTGGACAGAGGCGGCGGACGCGGCGTTCGCGGCATTGAAGACGGCGCTCTCCGCGGCTCCGGTCCTGCACCTCCCGGACTTCGACAACGAGTTCTTCGTCGACTGCGACGCGTCGGGCTCTGGCTTTGGGGCTGTCCTGCACCAAGGCGCCGGCCCCGTGGCGTTCTTCAGTCGGCCGTTCGCGGCGCGCCACCTGAAGGTCGCCGCTTACGAGCGGGAGTTGATCGGCCTGGTGCAGGCCGTTCGGCATTGGCGGCCCTACTTATGGGGCCGTTCCTTCGTTGTCCGCACCGATCACTACGCCTTGAAGTTTCTCCTCGACCAACGCCTGTCCACGATCCCCCAGAACCACTGGATCAGTAAGCTCATGGGTTATGATTTCAGGGTTGAGTTCCGGCCAGGACGCTTCAACGTCGTCGCGGACGCGCTTTCCCGGCGAGATGGCGACGCACCCCTGCTGGCCACGCTGCCTCCAGCCGAGCCGGCCATCGCGGCAATCTCCGTTCCCACATTCCAACTCTTCGACCAGCTCCGGCGCGAGGTGACCGTGTCGGACGAGCTGCGAGCGCTCCGCGACGAGGTGGCCTCGGCGCGCGCGGCGCAGACTGGGCGCTGCAAGACGGCCTCCTCCTCTACAAGGGCCGCGTCTACGTCCCAGCGACCTCCTCGGTCTTCGACGACGTTCTGCAGCTGGCCCACACCAACGCACATGAAGGCATCCAAAAGACGTTGCAGCGGCTCCGGACCGAATTCTTCGTCGAGCATGATCGCCGCGTCGTCCATGACTACGTGCGGGCGTGCGCGACGTGTCAACGCAACAAGACGGAGGCGATGCACCCGGCCGGCTTGCTACAGCCCCTGCCGGTGCCATCGCGTGTTTGGGCCGACATTGCCATGGACTTCGTCGAGGCGCTTCCCAAGGTCCACGGCAAGAGCGTCATCCTCACCGTCGTCGATCGCTTCTCCAAGTACGCCCACTTCATCCCATTGGGCCACCCGTACACGGCTTCCTCCGTCGCCCGCGCGTTCTTCCGCGACATCGTCCGCCTCCATGGTTTCCCTGACTCCATCGTCAGTGACCGTGATCCGGTCTTCACGGGCCACGTGTGGCGCGATCTTTTTCGTCAGGCGGGCGTCCAACTCCGCATGAGCACCGCCTTCCACCCGCAAACGGATGGGCAGTCCGAGGCGGTTAACAAGACGATCGCCATGTACCTTCGTTGCATCACTGGCGATCGTCCCCGGGATTGGCTCGACTGGCTTCCGTGGGCAGAGTTCTGCTATAACACCGCCTACCACTCTGCCCTACGGACGTCGCCCTTCACTGTTGTATACGGTCGCGCACCGCCGGAGCTCCTGCCCTATGCTCCGGGGGGCGCTCGCACGGATGCTGTGGACGCCTTGCTCGCCAACAGGGATGAATTCCTCGCCGAGGTTCGTGTGCGTCTTCTGCAGGCTCAGGAACATGCGCGACGCTTCTACGACGCCAAGCACCGGCCGCTCGAGCTGGCGGTGGGCGATTGGGTGCTGCTCCGTCTGCTTCGCCACAACCAGTCCGTCGCACCGGGCAGCAAGGGCAAGCTGGGGCCCAAGTATGCTGGGCCGTTCATGGTGCTTGAACGCCTTGGCGAGGTGGCCTATCGTCTCCGGCTGCCGGAGGGTGCCCGGATTCACGACGTTTTTCACGTCGGTGTCCTGAAACCCTTCCGCGGCACGCCGCCGTCCTCGGTGCCAGCTTTACCGCCTCTACGCCATGGCCGACCACTTCTTCAACCAGAGAGAGTGCTGCGTTCCCGCCTTAGTCGTGGGGCGTGGCATGTACTCGTTCAATGGGCCGACTTGCCGGCCGCCGACGCCACCTGGGAGCCGGTGGAGGAGTTCCGGGCTGCTTACCCGGCGTTCCAGCTCGAGGACGAGCTGTTTCCGAAGGACGGGAGAGATGTTATGGTCGGCAAGACTTATGCTAGGCGAAGTCCCTAAGAGTCCTAGCAGATTTAGTTAGTTGAGAGTTTTAGGGATTGGGTTCAGATTAGTAGCAGAGTTTGTTAGCCTAATGAGTCAAGTTGTTTCGGTTTGTAAGGACTATAAGAGTCCAACTTTGAGAAGAAAGGAATTAGCCTGGGATTGTGTCATAAGACACCCTTGGGCGCCTGGCGCTCCCTGTCAACTCGCGCCGCAGCCCTAAACCCTCGTCGACAGCACGGCGCCGCCGGCCCGACGTCGAGCCTTCAAGCCCCGGCCTCCAATCCACCATAGCTACAGCCTTAGGAGCTTAAGCTCTAACAGGTTCAGATTCGGTCCATTGGCAAACATAAATCTGTGCCTGTACCCGTGTACCTGAATCTGGCTCCTTGATGGCACAACTGGAAGCCGAAATGGGTGTTTTGAAGAAATAATGTGGCGTCGACACTAGTGTTTGTGTGTGCCAAAGTTTCTTCATAGCACGTGCGTGTTTGTATTCCCAGTTCTCTCGGTACTGTGAGCACATGCTTTGCTTGTTTGTACTTTTACAGACATGTTGCGTGTTTGTATCCGAAGGTCTGAAAAAGGTTGTGCCCTTTCCATTCGCTAAGATGGTTGGACCGATATCATTTGCTGACGTAGCTAGCCCAAAATACGCTGGGGAAACAGGTACCGACTGTTAATCATAAACAGATCACTTGTCAGTGATCACCCTAAAAATTTAATCAATGCCTTATGCTGAATGGGAAGTAGTGCATGGAAATGGAACACTTCTGACTTCTGAGATTTGGCATGGTTGCCAAGCGATCTATAAAATAACATCCTCAACAAAGATTCCAGAATTGAAGTACATAACAATCTGCCGTGACAAAATATACTCAGTGCCTAGGTTTGTATTGGTTCTAACACTACGATGACAGTGTAATAACCAAACATTTCATTTCTACCCAGAAGCCAACCCACAAAGCAGATCTCACCAAGTGAGCTTCAACAGCATTTTTACATTATCATCTGACTTAGTAATCACCGAAATTCATTGAGCCACCAGCTCCACCAGGTTGTCCTTTCCACGTGAGTTGACGTTCTTGGCAACCCCAACAATCTCCTCCATTTGGTTGTCCACAAGCTCATTGAGCTGCTGCTCCTGAGTCTTGAGATCTTCTGGCTGCTGCTCAACAGTTTGGTCGTCTGCGTCCCCACTCTCCTGTGTCCAATACACAGCAAAAGACTCCTCATTCGAACTGCTTGGCATCTGCAATAGACGCTTCCCGTTAGTTCCAGAGGCACTGCCAAGGATCTCCCCCTTGATGCGGTCATATATGCAGGCCCCTGAAGTTGTCCATGCTCTTATGATCCTGAGAGTCAAGGCTTAGGAAGATGAGCGGGTCAATACCTGATTCCCTACCAAGTTTGCCTTCCCTACAAGTTCTGTAAGTGTATATTTGTCGCAAATTATTACCAACCCAAGGACGTTTTTTTTTTTTTTTTTTTTTTTTTGAACGTCTTGGGCAGGAGCTCTGCCTTTCAATTAAGATTGGATAAGAAAGTTTTATGTACAAGCAAAGGCAACTAGGTTAAAGTCCCCCCCCCCTTAAGCATGCGAGCTAAATGCAATCGAGCGCTCTCTTCCTTTGCTCAATGTCTTCCTTAATCCTTGCGGCTACCTGCGGCACCGTTTCACTCCTATTGTCGAAAATTCTCCTGTTTCTCTTTTTCCATATATTCCAAAAGGTGTAGATAGCTACTCCGTTAAGCCTTCGACGCTCCGCTCTTGGCGCTTTTGCCGCCACGTCTTCCCACCATGACTTGATATGGGTGGGGTTTGCATTTTGCTGTTGTTGGATTTGAGTGAAGTTTTCCCACGTGAGAATTTGATTCCAATCCGCCTTTGCAAAAGGGCAAATAAGGCATAGGTGGAGGCTTGTCTCTAAAGGTCCATTGCACATCACGCACTGTTGTTGGTGAGGCCACCCTCTTTTTTGTAGATTTTGTGCCGTTAGAATTTTGTCTTGTACTAAGATCCATGCGAAGATCTTGCATCTGTTCTCCACATGCGCTTTCCAAATCAAGTCCGTACCAAAGTGGAGGAGCGAACCCAAGGACGTTACCAATCACCTTTCACTTTCTACAGAAATGTATCTGGCAACCAGCTGAGTGACGAGTCCCTATGTAAAAGTTATACTGGACCACTTATTTTCAGGTTTTGATTTTTTCTCAATATCCATTCCATTAATATGCTTCTGAGTTTTGTATTGTATCTCTTGCTGTGACCTTCAAACAAGTTACTGTTTAAGACATTAGTTCTGATTTTCTATACTTTCAGACATGATGGTGGCTCTGTATGCAACAAACCTTCTCCAAGCCCGCAAAGAAATAAAGTAGCTATCATAGCTATTTCAGTAGTGGTTCCTGTGTTGGTAGTAATTTTACTTCTTGCATATTTCATCTGGTGGCAGAAAAGAAAGCCTAATGGTGTGCATCCTGTTGCTCAATTCTTTACTGACATGTATTAACGCTTTCAATTTATAATACTTGACCTTTCTTATCTGATACTAGTGCAACCAGTCCCCATACATGGCCCAACAAGAGATCCAGAACCTGATAATGCTTCAGGAAGCAAAAAAGGTCATGGGTACAACCTGAATAAAACTGAGAATCGCCAGTTCACATACAAAGAGCTCGAGAAGTTCACTGATAATTTCATGAAGTTCATAGGACAAGGAGGTTTCGGGCCCGTCTACTATGGCCGTTTGGAAGACAGCACCGAGGTTGCTGTCAAGATGCGGTCTGAATCATCATCACATGGGCTTGATGAATTTTTAGCTGAGGTACCAAATTTCAGTGGCCTAGAAAAAAGCATATTATCAATTTAACCAAATAATACATGTTTCGTACATTGTTACATAGGTCCAGAGCATGACAAAGGTGCATCACAGGAATCTAGTGTCTTTGATTGGTTACTGCTGGGAGAAAGATCATTTGGCACTGGTGTATGAGTACATGTCTCAGGGCAGTCTTTTTTATCATCTGAGAGGTATGTCTATGGAAAGCCTATTGAGTATTGTTTAGGCATAACCAGCTATGTGACCTATTCAATTTGCTTTTGAAATATCTATGCATGGTTTGGACCTGAGAAACTATCTTGACTGACTTATAAATAATTCTGGTATCTGAAAAATCAGAAGCCTTTTGTGGGGTATCTACACGTCTTCCTACTGAAGTGCTTGATCCTTAGTGACAGCATGGTTGCGAAATATTTGCCTGCATCCTGCTTATATCATCAGTACATCTTAACATTGGGATGAGGGGTGACTTGATGCTGTGAGCTACATCCAGTTACCTTTATTTAGTTTAGTGTACGATTTCAGCTAATGTGTATGTTAGAGGATCGGTTTTATTTTGGTTATTAACTATATTGCAATTCCATTATAGAAGATTATATCAAAACTAGGAAAAGGAAACATTCCATAAATTTGTTGAAATTGACACGTGAAGCTTTTAAACTGTTCTGTTATGTTAAAACATTGAAGGTAAAAATGGTGTTTCTGAAGCCTTGAACTGGAGGAAACGTGTACAAGTAGTGCTTGAAGCTGCACAAGGTATGCCGCAACAAAGCACATCAAGAAAACTGTAATTAAGCAAATCCTTCATATGGTCATTATTGTTATTCTCATTTTTTGGCATTTCCTGTGATATATAAAGGCTTGGATTATCTGCACAAAGGTTGCAATTTGCCAATAGTTTACCGTGATGTGAAGACCAACAACATTCTCTTGGGTCAAAATCTGCAAGCTAAAATAGCAGATTTTGGACTTTCCAAGACATATCTTAGCGATACACAAACTCACATATCAGCCACTGCAGCTGGCACAGCTGGTTACATGGACCCTGAGTATGTATTATCTTTCCCTGTGTATTATATTAACATTTTGGTATTTTTCCATGTAGCTTATTTTTGAATGAGTACTAAATGAAAGAAAACTAGTAAAACTCGCCTTAATACAGGCAACATGGTTTCCTTTTCTCGCAGTTTTCTTATTCAATAAAATTAGGCTTGTCTGGTGCTGTGTTTTGTGAACACGCATGTAGCGTAGCTGTAGTGAGGCGTAGCTGCTGGTATGAAGTGTTTCTCTTGAACTTCTTGTTGCTGTTTGTTCAGGTACTACCACACTGGAAGGCTCACTGAGAGCAGTGATGTGTTCAGCTTCGGAGTTGTTCTGCTTGAGGTAGCCACCGGCGAGCCCCCAATAGTGCCAGGCCATGGCCACATTATTCGGCGTGTTAAACAGAAGATTGCCACTGGTGACATCGGCTCAATTGCTGATCTGCGACTTGGAAGTGCCTATGACATCAGCTCCATGTGGAAGGTAATCGACACCGCTGTGATGTGCACCGCGGATTCTGCTGCTCAAAGGCCAACGATGGCCACAGTTGTGATACAGTTGAAGGAGAGCCTAGCGTTGGAGGAAACTCGTGAGAAGGACAGTAGCATCAGGGTAAGCCGAGGGAGTGATATAGAAGCTATGGTGTCCACGTTTCGTCCATTGGCAAGATGAAGCTGTGCCTGTACCTGGATTTGGTTCATGGTTGATGCGTCTCTACTAAAAGTCTACAATGGGTTTTTGGTGAACTCCTTGTCATGTGAAGACACTCTAGTGTATAACTGTGTGCTGTTTTGAATCTGCAATTGCTTGTGTGTGTAAGGACTTCGAGAGTCCACGCCTGTGTGCGAGAGTAATAAGGTTTGGTGTGAGCTTGCAGCTTCTCCAGAATCCACATATTATGAACTCCCCAGGCTCTGTAAGTATTTGTGACAAATATTTCCCATGTTTGTATGTAATTGCATCATACTAATAACATAAAGGATTGATTAATTTGAAGCGAGGGATCCAGAAATTGAGCGTGAGCCGTTCCATTCCACCATGCATAGCTCTGTTTAATTTCAAACAGTTTTCCTTAGATATCCTATTGCCACCACGATTGCACTTTTATTCGTGTATTTTACTGGTTGAATTATCACAATATTATCTGCTTAGATAGCTACCTTTCTTACATCCCTGTTTACTTTTCCTGTGATCATTGTTATCACTAAAATTAGAATTTATGTTGTGTCTGTTATTTAGTTTGACTGTTACGAGTTTTCTCTCCTTGTTACAGATTTATTTGAATGTTCAAGGCCTGTTTGGAACACGGAAATTTTCCTGTTGTGTGTTTTTCCTATGAAATTAAATTGATTCATGTGAAAATTCTACATGATTCCTGTAAAATTCATACATTCCAAAATGGCCCTCAGCACCCTTACATTGAATATTTCAGTTTTTATTGGCTTCTCCAAATTAAATTTGCAATGGCAAACTAAAAGTTCCCCAAATCCCTAGTCTATAAATATAGAAAGGAAACTTGCATATAATCCCAGGTTGAAAGCTCTGATTCAGATTCAGTCCATTGGCAAACATAAATCAGTGCCTGTACCAGTGTACCTGAATCTGGCTCCTTGATGGCACAACTGGAAGCCGAAATGGGTGTTTTGAAGAAACAATGTGGCGTCGACACTAGTGTTTGTGTGTGCCAAAGTTTCTTCATAGCACGTGCGTGTTTGTATTCCCAGTTCTCTCGGTACTGTGAGCACATGCTTTGCTTGTTTGTACTTTTACAGACATGTTGCGTGTTTGTATCCGAAGGTCTGAAAAAGGTTGTGCCCTTTCCATTCGCTAAGATGGTTGGACCGATATCATTTGCTGATGTAGCTAGCCCAAAATACGCTCGGGAAACAGGTATCGACTACACATTAATCATAAGCAGATCACTAGTCAGTGATCGCCCTAAAAATTAAATCGATGCCTCAGGCTGAATGGGAAGTAGTGCATGGAAATGGAACACTTACGACTTCTGAGATTTGGCATGGTTACCAAGCGATCTATAAAATAACATCCTCAACAAAGATTCCAGAATTGAAGTACATAACAATCTGCCGTGACAAAATCTACTCAGTGCCTAGGTTTGTATTGGTTCTAACACTACGATGACAGTGTCATAACCAAACATTTCCCTTTCTACCCAGAAACTAACCCATAAAAGATATCTCACCATGTGAGCTTCAACAGCATTTTAACATCATCATCTGCCTTAGTAATCACCGAAATTCATGGAGCCACCAGCTTGTCCTTGCCACGTGAATTGACGTTCTTGGCAACCCCAACAATCTCCTCCATTTGGTTGTCCACGAGCTCATTGAGCTGCTGCTCCTGAGTCTTGAGATCTTCTGGCTGCTGCTCAACAGTTTGGTCGTCTGCGTCCCCACTCTCCTGTGTCCAATATACAGCAAAAGACTCCTCATTCGAACTGCTTGACATCTGCAATAGACGCTTCCCGTTAGTTCCAGAGGCACTGCCAAGGATCTCCCCCTTGATGCGGTCATATATGCAGGCCCTGAAGTTGTCCATGCTCTTATGATCCTGAGAGTCAAGGCTTAGGAAGATTAGAATTTCCCAGCATCGGAGGAACTGTTTCTTGTTGATCTTCAGCTTCTGATGGACAGTCTCCATCAGCTCAGCTGGTGGAACCATTCTCAAACTGTGAGTCCTTTTTGACAGGTTGGTCTCCTTCAGAGACGAGACAGTAGCACTGAGTGCAGGTTTGATCGGATCAAACGTGAGAAGACGGAGGCAGTCAATGGATGAGCGCACATACTGCAGGTAATCAGAAGGGTCTTCTATAGTTACATCATATATGTTCTCAGACTGTGCGAAATAATTGATTGCTTCAAGAAGACGAAGACCATGGCCTTCACCCTGATAAGGTGGCAAGACAAGTATCTGAAAAATACAACAAAATTCTAAGCACCTAGCAAGACGAAAACTTGCTTTACTTTCCAAAAGATTTGGTTATGCAACTGTCAATGTCAGTTTAACATCTGAAAAAAAAAACAGACTGCCCATGGGTGCAAAAGCAAAAAGAATAACCTACAGTGCCATGGAATAACTTCAAAGAAATGGACTAAATACTGGACACCCCACATAAATGATGTAAATAGAGAGTAAATCTGTAAGAGGGCCAACCTGGCTGATTCGCAAGCGAGTACTCTCAGGATAATGATAGAAGTTATGGACAGCTGCAAAACCTAGCAGTTCAAATTTCGAAACGGCCTCTTGTGTTGTCTTCTTTACTACCAGAAGCATTTCCCATCCATGTTCTCCAATATCTATGGGCGTGGAACCTAGAGTGCAATGATATAAGCAAATAGAAGTCACAAGTAAAACAATTATATTTCAAAACCTTCAGTTACCTTCAATCAGAAGAAGAATAAGCGGTACCAGACGAGAATAAAGAAATGCAGCAGCACCTTGGAGCTCAACTCGAACAATCTGGGAATTATATGCAAATCAATATCAAAATTGATGGGAACTGAATAGGAAAACATTTTGAACAACAGAGAATAGACTGAATATAAATTTCAATGGATCTAACAGATTCATACTACACACCAGATTAAACATTCTGAATATGGAAAAATATATGCATTTTAACAGAGTAAGTTATTGGACTTTATATTGATTTTGAGAACAGTGTCCTAAATTATAGGGTAAACATGATCAAATTCAATTTAATTGGATGAGTTGAAATCAGAGAACAAAGTTAAATAAGTGTTACAAATCAAAATCACAAATGCATAGGATTATAGGGGGAAAATTACCTCAACTGCTGGGTCTGATTCATATAAGCCATCAAGCTTAATGGCACTACCATTTGTCACTGCAGTTCTGTAGCAGTAAGAGAAAGTAACTATATCATGCTTCCTGAAGCAACAAATAATACTGCTGCAGCATACTTGTTCAGAAACAAGAGTACCTGATATATTCACATTCCTTCGAAAATGTATGCAGAAATTCCTCTTTTTCTACCAAGTTTTCTCCAAAAATGTTCTGTTATAGAATAAAAAAAGCTTAGGAGATAGGAAACATTATGCACAGAGGTTGTCTGTAGTTATATAAGAACATTATGGACAAAACAGACCTGAAGAACAGGCTTTAGATCTGTTATTCCTTTCCCTCCCTGGAAGATATCAGTAAAAATGCTTTGTCATTGACTTGAGGAAACCAGTTACAGCTACTAACAAATACATGTCAACTGAAATTTTAAAATCTGCATTTCACCGCCCATTGAACAATAGAAGCCAATATATTCAAATGTTAAAGAAAGACATCTAAGATGAGGAATTATGGTTCGAGGTTAGAGATGGTTTCTGTTAGGTGTCATTGATACATCAAAGAAATGGACACAAATGTAAAACAAAAGGTTACAATTACAAGGGACAAGTTTGTAAACAACAGAAGTATCAACAGCTTCTTTGCAGTTTGGATTCAGAAAGCATTTTAAAGGAGTATCAATTATGGCTGGCAATCATATGCAGTAACTGCACATGCTAAAAGTTTTATTAAAAAAAAATCTATACCCATAAAGAAGTAAAAGTTCTATACATATGGAATGCTATAATCAAATAGGCTCATAACAACATAGTTACTTGAGTATTCTTTGATGAACTAGTACTCACATCAGATGTTTCGTCAAATGAAATATCAGCATATCCATGGAATGATTTCGCACTTATCCACACATTTATCTGTAACAAACAAGCACATCAAATACAATCATGTCAGATAACTAACATGTCAACCTAGTGGGAGAAAGGGCTGGAGTCTGTTATTTCAATAACAGTCCTTTACCTTAAGATTTTTGTAACCATATATCTTTCCATCTTCACCAAAAAAATGGTTTAGGTCAAACGGCACAATAGAAGTGCAGTCTACAGAGCCCATCTCGTCTGGATTCCTTACTGCCATAAAACCAATGCAAGAAAAAAAGAAGAATCTGAAGGAACCAAATTAACAGGATTATGATTCACTGAGTATAAACATAAAATTTGTGAAGTTGCTAGTAACTGAAAAACTTCAATATGTGAAAAGAGTTATAGAAGCTAGTGGGAATATGAGACAAAGGGACAAGCATACATAGTACATACAGAAGGGGTGTAATAGTTGCTAAAAATTGCAATTTGCAGAGGGATGCTGAAAGCAATTCCATACCTAGAAACACTTTCATACACTCATTTGCCTCAACACCAGCATCTGCACAGATGAACAAACAGCGCAATTTAACTTATAATATTATGAACAAACAGCGCAATTTAACTTAAAATATTGTATCTCAAAGAGCAATCCTTATGGGACTGATAGAACCACAAATGTCTGATGTCTCTTCATGTTTGCAAAAGGCAAAACAGGTCCACAGTTTGAATTATGCCAAGTGCACTCCACAAAGAAAGCAAAATAAGGGAAAACGTAAGAATGAATAGAATGCAAAAGGTGGAGAGGTTCACCATTTCCTATCACATTTTAACCTGTGTGACTATTCAAAACCTCTGAAGACAGTGCATCAGGGCTTAACCAAGCAAAGGAGGGCCAGATCCAATTCTCCACAGGCAGACAAGCAATTCATTACGGACAATGCACAACCTCAGTACAGAAAACAGGGCAAAGCCTAACAATTTAGCAACTTCTTTCCCACCCCTTTTGACTAAAAGAGAATAAACTCCCCACGCTTCAATGTCGCAACCAACAAATTAAGCAAGGCAGACGCATCTAGTGAGAAGCACAACGATCTCGGTCGCGCTCCACACGTATATCCATGGCAGGACGACCCCAGCGTAAGCCGCCAGGCCAAAAATAAACATTAAAATGAACGCACGCCGCAGCCCAACAAGACAGCCGCCGCGTCACAACACGAATGGGACCTGCAGCGCCGGATTCGCCGCCAGACGCACGAATCGCCGGAAATGAGAGGGTGATGCGTGGGTCGAGTTTGGTACCGGTGCCGGAGAAGCCGACGCGGCGGCGCTTCTTGGGGTCGGCGGCGGCGGCATCGGTGCCCTTCTGCTTGAGCGCCATGGGCGAGGGGAGGATGGGGCCTGTGCGCGGGGTCGTTTAGCCAGCTAGGGTTTGGGGGGTTTGGGGGAGGGGAAGAGGCGGGAGGGGGCGGCGGGAAAGAAATGGGGAATCGATGGCTGCGGCCTGCGGGCGCGGGGGCGGGCGGCGCGAGCTGGCAACTGGCCAATTGGGTGCTCCAAAAATATTGCGGGTGGAGAAAGGGTGAAAAAGAAGAGTTTTTTTTTTGCTGTGAAGAAAGGGTAAAAAGGAAAAGTTTTTTTAGCAAAAAAGTAATGCAGGTAGAGAAAGGTAAAAAGGATGAGTTATTTTTTTTCGGTTGACAAAGACTAAAATGAAAACTTGTGGAGAATTCTTGAGGTCTTGGTAAAAAGGAAAAAAACATTTGGGTTGGCAAGGGCAGGAAATAAAAAAATGAAAAAAAAACTTGCCGTGAATTCTTGGGTTGACAAATGGTAAAAAAATAAAAAAGAAAGGGTTAAAATAAAAAACTTGGGTTGACAAAGGGTAAATAAAAATAAAAAAGGAAGGGTTAAAATAAAAAACCTGGGTTGACAAAGGGTAAAAAAGAAAGGGTTAAATAAAAAAGAAAAAACTTGCGGTGAGCGTGGATCGAACACGCGACCTTCAGATCTTCAGTCTGACGCTCTCCCAACTGAGCTATCCCCGCCATCTAGTAGTTTTAATAAAGAATCATTCATGTTGGCAAATATGGGTCACCAAATTGTGGCAACAAATGAAATGATATGGTCCCGTACTGTAATTAAACACAATTGTACATTTCACTATGAATTAGAAATAGCAAACAACAGATTAAATCATACAGTCCTACACGGATTATGATGACATTTATAAAATCTTCTAACTGTACACATTAGTATATATAGAGAGAGAGATACAAAACAGTGGCAAACAAATACTACTAGTCTATGGCAAGCCCGTTGGAAACGTGCTGTGGAGTAGAGAAGCAGCACCAACAAGGAACCAAACTCAGACCCAAGACCATGCACTGACGATGTAAAAAAGCTTCACCTCGCCGACGGACCAAACCCGGACATCATCAAAGCCGCGCTATCGCTGGCGGCGATGCTCGCCGGGACGCTGCGGTCATCGTCGTTGTCGCGGGCATACTCCAGCGCGAGGCTGTCCTTGAGCTGCGCCGCCACTTCGCCCATCGTCGGCCTCCCGGCGCCGGACTCCGCCGTGCACGCCATGGCGGTGTCAACCACCTTCCACATGGAGTTGACGTCGTAGGCGGCTCCGAGCCTCGGGTCGGCGACCGAGCCGATGTCGCCGGTGGTGGAGACCCTCTGTTTGACGCGCTGGACGATGTGGCCCTGGCCTGGCACCAGCGGAGGCTCCCCGGTGGCTGCCTCGAGTAGGACGACTCCGAAGCTGTACACGTCGCTGCTCTCGGTGAGCCTTCCGGTGAAGTAGTACCTGGAAGAAACAGCAGTAACCAAGGACATCAAAAGGAAATCCTCAATCCTCATGTTGTTATTTAAATCTAAAGGTCGCATGACAAATGCCAGTTTTCTTGCATACTACTTCTCAGTGGAATACAAGCAACAAGAACAAGGAATGAAAGTATAAAAGTACTACCAAAATGTTATAGCATAAACAGGGAGAGAGACATACTCTGGGTCCATGTAACCAGCCGTGCCAGCTGCTGTGGCTGAAATGTGAGTATGGCCATCGCTAATATATGTTTTGCTAAGTCCCAAATCTGCTACTTTAGCTTGCAGATTCTGACCCAAGAGTATGTTGCTGCTCTTCACGTCCCGGTGAATTATTGGTGGGCTGCATCCTTTGTGCAAATAATCCAGACCTACAACAGGAATAATGCCAAGAGGTGAAGAACAAATGTAAGATTTGCTTAAAAGAAATGAGTTGGCTATATGTGTTATTCATTGGAGCATACCTTGTGCAGCTTCGAGCACTATTCGTACACGTGTTTCCCAGTTCAAGGCTTCAGCAGCAGCAATTTTACCTTCATTGTATTAACAGAGCACAACTGTGTTAACAACTTCATATGTCAAGTTCAGAAGATACTACAGGTGCCATTTTAAAACTGTCACATAGTTGTTCACTTCTTAATCAGTAGTGCCACTATTTGGAAATAAATGAAGCTTTAAAATTTGAATGTTCAAATTTGACCATTAATGTACGCAAAACTATTTTAAAATTGACACATGAAAAGTAATACAATTATATTTATTTTCAGAACTACCTTAAGATAAAATGTTACATTGTCTTGTCAAATAAGTTAGGAATTCAAACCTCTCAGATGATCATAAAGATTGCCTTGAGACATGTACTCATAAACAAGTGCTAAATGATCTTTCTCCCAGCAGTAACCAACCAAAGAAACGATGTTCCTGTGATGCACCTTTGTCAGGCTCTGAACCTATGTAACCAGATGACACACATAGGAAAGATATATTAGTTGCCAAATAAGCTCCTTCTGTGCTGTGGCTCATGCAGTTTATTCACATGTATGCCATGCATTTCTAATGTGTCTTGACTCATGAATATTTCATGGTGACTCATACCTCAGCTAAAAATTCATCTAGCCCATGCGATGAAGACTCGGAGCGCATCTTGACAGCAACCTCAGTACCATCTTCTAAATGGCCAAAATAGACAACTCCAAAGCCTCCTTGTCCTATGAACTGTTTAAAATTATCAGTGAACTTTTCCAGGTCTTTATATGTGAACCGCCTATTCTCGTTATCTTGCAGGTGATCCCCTTGATTTGTTCTACTTCTTGGAGCAATCTCGAGTTGTGCATTTCTTGTGTGATCAACTACAGAAACTGGTTGCACGAGTATGATATAAGAATAATAAAATGAAAATACACATACATGGTAATTCTGGATAGGGCGACAGGATGCACACCAGCAGAATTCCTTTTTGCTCTACAGATGAAATATGCAAGAACAATTGCAGATACAACCAGCACAGCAACCACAACTGAAGTAACTAAGATAACGGTGCTTTTCCTTGATGCAGTTATCTTTTTGTTGCACGTACTTTTACTAGAATCATGTCTGAAATACATAAGAACAACAAGGTCAGAGTTTACTCAGGGAGGGGGAGTTGTCTTTGACTGCTCAGGTTAGAGATCCTAGAAACAGATATACTATCCAAAAGTTCACAAGCATATTAATGGGAAAAAAACAGCAAGAAGAAAATCAAAACCTGACAATAAGTGACCCATTATAATTTTTACATAGGGAGTCATCACTGAGCTGGTTGCCAGATACATTTCTGTAGAAAGTGAAAGGTGGTTAGCAAAGTCCTTGGATTGGTAATTATTTTCAACAAATATATACTTACAGAACTCTTAGGGAAGTCAAACTTGGTATGGAATCAGGTATTGAGCCACTTAAGTTGTTGTAAGATAAATCTCTGAAACATTTGCACAGTGTGAGCAAGCAGGGTTCATAATTTCAGGCATTGAGAATTTGACATAGGAGTCGATTCAAACTCTATATGAAGGGAATTTGAAAAACATCTAGGTTTTACCATTCTATTGCATGATTTATGACATATCAGCTAATGTTAGGAAATAAAAGCCTTATTATAGTTCAGCCATTGGGAACATGATCCGGACGAGTATGCTGTGGCTCATCAACAGATTTTCTAATTGCACCATGTCCATTTAAATTTGATGGAGCCGTTTGATCAATAGAGGAGGGTAAATTAAACATTGTCAAATTTAACCAGAGAGAGTGGCTTAATTTATTAATTGGAAAAAATGACAATGCAGTTATGCCAAATCTACATGCTGTAAAAAAACAGAGAAGAGGCTCTCCTAAACTTGAACTAAGGGAGAGTGATGTATGGTATTGTTACTTTACAGAGGCCGTAAGCTGTAATCTGGATTCATTACAACAAATGTTTGGACTGATCCAATAAACTAACATGTTGGACCTAACAAATCTTCATCACATGTAGCAGAATGTAAACGCCAGTCATGGTCTCATGGAACGTGGCCTCTGGGCACATAAATAAATAATGAAAGCAGAGGACATCATTAGTCTGTTAGATAGCACTTACAAATTCTGGAGTGCCGTGAGCAGCGCAAAATTCTTGGATACCGCGCCATGCAAATAGCTGCTGGATAGATTTCTGCATGAGAATTTGCAATTCAACATAAATCAAATGCGCTAATAATATACTAACACAATTAGTATCACGATGTGAACCTGGTAAATAATGTTCCAGATACTCACAACGAAGTTATCCTCGTGGTGTTGCCATTTGTATTGCCGCATTTCACGCCATCCCAAGTATAATTGGTTGGGAAACATGGATCACCCATCCAGTTTTTCGTCACTCCATACTCCTTTTTGATAGCCATGATGGCGTCAACTGGCATGCAAAAAAATATGGTCATGACTTATGTTTGAGAACTGGGTGTTCGAACACCCAGATACATGACTTCCGGAACCATTCTTGGCAAGCCATTCTAATATATATGCTGGCTTCATTATCACACCCAGTTCATAAGTGCCATGACCCATAACCTTCAGCGACATTCTATCAAGCACGTTGGGCGCGCAGGGTCGGTCAAGACGGATAGATGGTCAGGACGAAGGGCGCGCCCAAGTGCCAACATTTGCAAGGCCCTTTTACGATTGGATTGGAAGTAAACAGAGTAGCACTTACAGTCACTAGGCAGTGTCGTCGGGTTCTCGTACGGGACGAGAAGGTAGATCTCGAGCGCATTGATCATGGGAGGCAGCACGGAGGTGTTGGTCGCAACCAGAGTGATGTTGTAGCTGCCGTCGGCAGCCTTGAAGGAGACTGTGTACAGAGTGCCCCGGGTCAGGTACGGGGGCTTGTACGACTCGTACACCGTTCCCGAGTAGCTGTCGAACTGCCGGAGCTGGGTGTTCTGGAAGTCGGCGTAGTGCTCCAGCGTCGTGAACGAGTACTCGCTGTCGTCGCGCCACGTTACGGCTGTCAGCGCCGTGTCGTTGCCGGCTGCCGCGACGGCCGTCTGCAGAACGACCGACGGCACGGGGGAAGTGATGTCCACCTGAATAGACCCTGCCGGGGCCGAGAGGTTCACCCACCGTGGGTTAGCGTTCTCCACCGGGTACCAAAAACGGTCGTATGGATCCTCAGGATACCTTCACCAAATCATCGTCAGTCATCAGAATGGGTTATGGTTGATAACTATACATATGTATGTTTAACATACCGTATGAAACTGCTTGTCCCCATGTTTAGCCGTTTGTACGTGGTCGAGAAGAGGCCGGGTCGTACGGCCTGCGGATAGAGCACCGCGTCGAGCGGCCTGAGCTCCACGACGCTCACGAACGGCGTGCCGCGGCCGGTGTTCACCAGGCAGAAGGGCGCCCACCCCGCCCACGCGACGAAGACCACCTCGTGCTCGTCCTTGAACTCCGGCAGCTTTGCGGTGCGCCAGCGGTTGGCCCCCAGGTGCAGGTCGAACTCCAGCGACGAGCTGTTCTTGCCGTCGTAGTTGCCGTACTCGAACTCCGCCCGCAGCAGGTACTTGGTCCCGGCCACGGTGGGGAGCGCGTAGCAGTTCCGCACGCCGGATGGGAAGCTCCTCAGCGTCTGATAGCGGCGCAGATAGACGTCGTAGTCGGCCGATAGCCTGTGGTTCTCGCCGGCGCCGGCGTCGATGTACGGGTCGTCGGGTTCGTACTCGATGCCTGTCTGGGTGTCTGTGTAGCTCCCCGAGCTGGCATCCAGGCCGCAGTCGATGCTCACGAAGCCTGCAGATAATAATGCTCACACGATCGATATATATATGCAGGGCTGCAGCGCATATGAAATCTACGATCGATCGATGCACTAGTGAACCGACGATGCTTGATGAAATGAAACGAGAGAAACCTTTTCGCTGCCCGACGACATGAACCGGCGGGGCGGCTAACACCAACAATGCAGCCAATAAAACCAAGAACGCCATTCAGAGTTTCAGACTACTTGCTAGCCGCCGGCCTGCTTCTTGCTGTTATGGTTGCGATTAACGGCGATGGCCTCATGCTTATATATATGCTCCTCCATTTGTAAATTATTATATATAAAAAAAAAACTCGGACCGTGGGGATAGAACCCTTTGACCAGAAACTAATGATTCTATGAATGGAGATGATATGCACCTAACGTCTTCTAATAACTGATGATACGCGGTCTGCGGTATGCACATGCATGCCCTCTTGGTCGTGGCTCTGCGTATGTGCATGAACCCGTGGAACGGAACGGATCAACCAATCAACACGTGCGAATGAGTTTGCCTTTTAAAACAACACGTCTTAAATTAATTAATTAGTGCAACTGGTTATTACAATTAGTCCTTTAATCCAACACGTCCGAAACAAAATTTACCATTATATTGTCCATTTCCATTTTCTAGGTTTTTTTTTTGGATTCTACTAATTTAAGGTAAGGTAGCACAATTCTATATCTCTGTTTACATGCAAGTCTCTAGACGCGAAGAAATATAAGCTAGAGTATATAAAATAACGATCTTCACCTCTAAACTATGTTGATAACTATCTAAGTCCAACCCATTGTAACTCAATAATGCAGACAATAGCCAAAGGAACATAACCCTCGCCAATCATCCTTAACCACTACTACAACAATCTTAACAGAGCCGGACAAAAACAGGTTAACCCTTGCCAATCATCCTTAACAACAGGCACCACAACTTGGAAACTTCGTATGATCCAATGCCACTAGAACTTCTCAAAGACGCATTTGACATGTTGGAAGTACATCAACGGCCTCGTCGTCGAAGATATGGTCAAGGGACAATCAATCCGACACCTCCAATACCAACACTATTGGATCTATAGAAGCCTGGATACCTACCTGGACATTGTGAGATCAGAATCCAGAGAGCCAGTAACACACATATATATATGCAAATGGGGAGCTCGATTATCCTCCCTAGTCACATCAACCCTGCAAAACGGAAGCAACATGAAGACTTCTAGAGCGGATGCCTAGAGGGGCACCCATTGTCGGTGTTTTGAGTTACCACCGACAATTAAATTTTTAATATTGTGTGTCTGGCTTGGATGGTGTACTTAGAGGACACGAGATTTATACTGGTTCGGGCAGAATGTCCCTACGTCCAGTTCGTTGCTGCTGCTCGTGTTACTAGCACTGAAAGTTCGTAGTAGGGGTTACAAACGGACGAGAGAGTTACAGGTCCCAAGTCTCTGGTGAAAGGAATGAACGGGTGCTGAGAGAGCTCGATTGCTTCTCGGCCATGTGTTCGGGGTTCGATGGGTTCGTGATGGTTCGATCGGATCTAGCCTGAATCGATGTGATGTGTTGGATGCCTCTTATGGGACGCCCTGCTTTCCCTTTTATAGGCCAAGGGAAAGCATGGGTTACAGCGGAGGAAAAAGAAGAACGAGAGAGAGAACCGAAGGCCTTCAGGATCGCCGGGCCCTTCTTCTCCTTCATGCGGGTCCCGTCGACCCTGTTGTCGGTGTTTCGGAACCGGGGGTCCTTAACCGACTAGTGAATTTGTGCTGCGTGCTCCCAATTCCGGATGGAGATGCAAAGAGACACAAGGTTTATATTGGTTCGGGCAATGGATGCCCTACGTCCAGTCTGAGAAGGTGTTCTTGTATTCCTTGCACCGGGGTGCTCGTAGTATGGGGTTACAAGCTAGGCGAGAGAGGGAGTTCGTCCCAGATCTCTGTGAGGGGAGGTGATATCAAATTACAGAACGAGACGTGTTGTTCATGCGAGTATCTGTGATTCTATCCGTCGTCCTCGAAACGGTCCTGGCTGCCTCCTTTTATAGCCGCAGGGAGGAAACCAGGAGTACATAAGAGAGCTACACATGGAGCAAGGACTATTCGATGACGTATTTACTCCTGGAGCAGCATGGCGTTGTCGTGGGAGTTCCCGTAGATGTCCAATCGGTATGGTCTTCACTACAAGTAACATGCTGCGCATTTATTGACTTGGTGGATTGCAGAGGCTCGGCGGCCTTCGTAGCCGGTCGTGCCGAGGCCTGTCGTGCGAGGCTGTTGTCTTGCCGAGTCTCCCGTGTCGAGGCTGAGAAGTGACCCAGTGCGGATCTGGGTCTCAGCAGACCATCGGCGAAATTGTGCGAGACGATGCGCCCTACAGGATCTGATACACTGTGTTGTCGATGGGGATGGTAAAAAGGTGATCGACCGTTGTCCCGTCGCTCTGTTGCGGCCAAGCCGCCGATCGTGGCTTTATGCGTAGTGGGTGCGGCCGAGCACATTAATCGGATGTGACACCCGCCGGAGAGACTTTTGAGGCGAGGCGACGAGGTTGTGGAACGAGCCCGGCCTCGGGCGGCGGAGCGGAGCGCGATTTGTCCGAGGCCCTTCCGAGGGGGTCTCGGGCGAGGCGGAGCAAGATCAGTGAATCTGATGCCCTGTGGGGGGGCTCGGGCTAGACGGGGTGGTCGGTCCGCCGATTCCGAGGCTCTGAGGAACCCGCTTCGACTCCCCACGTTATGATGTCCTTGGTGCGAGTCGGGTAGCACACGGTGGTGGTAACCCTGCTCTGCTGCCGTCTCGGATGGCGGGAGAGGTTGACGCGACGCGCGCGTGTAGTCGGTCACTTCGCCGTACTATGCCATCGTGCGTCTGTCGGAGTGGTTGGGTGCTTGGATGCGACGTTTGGTCAGAGCAGTTTGGTTGAAGAGGCGGCCACGGGGCTGGTGCCGAGCTGGCCTCGCGCGAATCGGAGAATCGGCACTTCTTCCGAGGCCCCGGACGAGAGGGTCTCGACGAGGGGGCCTCGTCGAGGCGGTCTCGGGTGAGTCGGAGAATCGTTTGCTTCCGCTGGGGCTCGACGACGGGGTCTCGGGCGAATCGGAGATTTCGGTCGAGACCTCGTTTGTTCATTCCGTTGGTTCTGTTTTTAGGGTGTAAGCAGTTCTTCGATCTTCGCTTGGGGTACCCCATTTTCTGGTATCCGACAGTAGCCCCCGAGCCTCGGGCGGGAGTGTGGGATACTCTCCCTGAGGTTTTTTCGAAGCTTTCGTTTCTCAGTGGCTTTTGTTGGGTTTGCTTTATACTCGTGATTCCGGTGGGTGCGGCAGGCCTCGGTGTAGCTTCTTCGAGGCCCTAGAGGTGAGTTTACTCCTTTAGGGGCTTTTTCTTCGTTGAGTAAGGCGCTCTATCGCATTTGCTTGACCCATGAGAGCGAGCTCGGGTGGCTTGTTTGGGTGCAGGGAGGAGCACCCGAGCTCTGAAAGCCCTTGCGTGCATCAAGGTTGCGAGGAGAGCCTCCGAGCCTCCAGCTGAGCGAGAGGCGTCAGGAGTTCCCCGACTTTTTGTGCGACTCTCGCGCTTCCTTTTCGCTCGGAAGGAGGGGTTGTTTGCCGAGCCCTTCACGCGTGCGAGCCTAGGCCATTGGTCTCGTCAAGGTTGCGGGAAGAGCCCCGAGCCTCCAGCAGCGGGCGAGAGGCGATCGAGAGTTCCCCTAGCTTTTTGTACGACCCTCGCGCTTCCTTTTCGCTCGGAAGGAGGGGTGGAACATGCCAGGCTACCCTCGGTGGGTGCGAGCGATGACATTTCCGGTGAGCTTTTATCGGGTAAGTCCGAGTGGAGGCCCGTGCCCCATTCGATAGGGGTCGGCTAGTGGTCCAGAGACGCGCTCCAAAAAGTACCAGAAGGCTTCTCTAGTGGGTGCCAGGGCCGTTCAATTGGCCCTAGGGGCTCGGTGCCTCCCTACGGTGGGATCCCCTTTAGAGAACTCCTGCTGGTCTCAGACACGACTTAGGGCATCCCAAGCAATCGCTTGCCTGGGCCTCGGCCATGTACGGGCTCGCCCATAGTTGTCCCTGACTCTGTCGTCCTGAGGCGGCTGTCGAGACCATAAATGGTCCAGCCTTCGAACCTCTGGACCGTAGCGGGCTCGGTGCCCTTTTTCGTCGTGTTTTTCCAATCCTCGGGGTGTACTTCTCGGCAAGGTTTGCACGAAGAGCCCCCGAGCCTCCGCACGTAGCGAGAGGGCGATCAGGAGTTCCCCTGGCTTTTTGTACGACCCTCGCGCATCCCTTTCACTCGGAAGGAGGGGTTGTTTGCTGAGCCCTTCGCGTGCGAGCCTAGGCCGCTGGGTCTCGGCAAGGTTTGCAAGAAGAGCCCCCGAGCCTCCGCACGTAGCGAGAGGGCGATCAGGAGGTCCCCTGGCTTTTTGTACGACCCTCGTGCATCCCTTTCGCTCGGAAGGAGGGGTTGTTTGCTGAGCCCTTCGCGTGCGAGCCTAGGCCGCTGGGTCTCGTCAAGTTTGCAGGAAGAGCCCCCAAGCCTCCGCGCGGAGCGAGAGGGCGATCAGGAGTTCCTCTGGCTTTTTGTACGACCCTCGCGCTTCCTTTTCGCTCGGAAGGAGGGGTGGAACATGCCAGGCTACCCTCGATGGGTGCGAGCGATGACATTTCCGGTGAGCTTTTATCGGGTAAGTCCGAGTGGAGGCCCGTGCCCCATTCGATAGGGGTCGGCTAGTGGTCCAGAGACGCGCTCCAAAAAAGTACCAGAAGGCTTCTCTAGCGGGTGCCAGGGCCGTTTGATTGGCCCTAGGGGCTCGGTGCCTCCCTACGGTGGGATCCCTATTAGAGAACTCCTGCTGGTCTCGAACACGACTTAGGGCATCCCAAGCAATCGCTTGCCTCGGCCTCGGCCATGTACGGGCTCGCCCATAGTTGTCCCCGACTCTCATCCGTCCCCGAGGCGGTTCGAGACCATAAATGGCCCACCTTGAACCTCTGGACCGTGGCGGGCTCGGTGCGTCTTCCTTAGCTCGGAAGGAATCGGTTGGGGGGTATTTCCCTTCCATCGGCTAACAACGCCCGGCGCGTCTTTTGAGGCGGTCTTGTCGGGAGCTACCGTTGCTGCGCGACGTGGTGTCAGTGGATGGGACATAACCGTCTGCTCGATTAAATGTGGAGAAGGTGGGCATGTG